CTCCCGGGTGAGCCCCTTGGCCCCAGCGCGCCCTGTGCACCCTGCGGGGGCAGCACCCCAGGGCCTCTGAGCGGCGTGGTCACCGGGGTGGGGGCGGGGCACGCTGGCACCCGGGCCTGGGACACACGTGCTTCCCTGTTCGGAGGAGGCCGTGCCTTGGCCTCTCAGCCCCACCCTCCGTCTTCGGGGTGCGCCCTCCCTGTCGCCCGCTCCCCGCACACCCCCTGCCCTCTCAGCGCCTCCCGTGCCCTCTGTCCTCATGCAGCGGGCGGTGCCCTCGACCAGGCCTCGGAGCTGAGAGGTTTGGAAGGTTCTGGAGTGGGGGCAGCGGAGCACAGCCGCCCCAGCCGGACGCCCCGTGGGCCTCTCTCATCTGCTGGGGGGTGGAGGTCGGGTCTGGCTGCACCCCGGCCCAGAGCCTGGTTCTGAGGGGGGGAGGGTGTGCCTCAGTTTCCCCACCTGGCTCTGGTCAGCTGAGCCTGGTGGCGGTCCGTGACGGTTCTGGGTGCAGTGCCAGCTGTGGGGCGGGGGTGTGTCCTGCGGGGGTGGCTTTGCCGTGGGAGGCTGGGGTCGGGGGGCCCGGAGCCCGCGTGTCGGAGCCCACACGTGTGGGCAGGTGCGTTCCGGCTCACAGACGCCTTAGGGCCCCGCTCTCAGCCCCTGCTCTGCCCTCTCGTTCATCAGGTGGCCTCTGAGGTTCGGGGGACGTGGGGCAGCAGACGTCCCCTGCGGTCACCCTGGAGCCTGAGGCCCCGAGGCCCCGAGGCCGGGTGGCTGACCCGTGGAGTGAGCTCCCCGTGGTGTGAGCAGCCGGGGGCGGGGGGCTGGGGGCTCTGGGGGCCGGGCCGCCACGACAGTGCGCCCTGAACACTTTCTTAAATTGAGGTGAAACGCACAGAACAGGGTGACCTGTCAAAGTGAGCAACGCCCGGCGCTTAGTGGGTTGCCAAGTCATGCAACCACCCCGTCTAGTTCCAGAACATTCTCCTCACCCCGTAAAGACACAGTGAGCCACCTGCAGCCCCGTCCCACCCCCGGCCCCTGGCGCCACCCCCATTCGCCGCAGATGGTCCAAACCAGGGGGATGGGGGGTGCATGGCGATGCCCAGAGGAGCCCCCACTTTCCCTCGGGGTCACTGGCCGGGGACGGGCTTCCCGCTCTCCGCGTCCTCACCACACTCACTTCTCATTAAACGATTTGTGACCGTCTTGGCGGGTCAGAGGCCTCGCGTATGCTTCAGAGCAGCTGGCGGGCGGACAGCAGGCTGTGGCCCCGGGGGACGCTGGGGAAACAGAGGCACGGGGCCGCGGGGCTGGAGGGCTTGACTGCTCTGCCCTTGCTTTGCCCAAGTGGTTCCGGAGAGCTGTGTGTCGCAGGTCCCCAGCCATGTCCCCTGAGGCTGCAGGGACAGTGAGGGGAAGGGCCGGCCTGTGGGCAAGGGGGGTCCGTGTGGATGGCCCGGAGGGGGCGTTGGTGGGTGCTGCTTTTGGAGATGGCTCTGGTGCTGCGGAGGGAGGGCCTGGACGCCCCAGACCCCCGGAGTTGGCAGGGTCCTGGCTGTGCTGGTGGCCGTTCGGGCCTGGGCGGGGCCGCCCGTGGGGAGAGGCGACGGGTGCAGGGGCAGCTGGCTGTGCGGTTCCGGGAGTGGGTGGGCGGGCACGGGTCCAGGGAGCGGGTCCACCTGAGGGAAGGGCCCACCTGGGGGTGGCGAGGAGGGTCCAGGTGGGGACCGCGGAGGGGGGCCGACGGGGAGGCCTGGGGGGTCTGCCCCACGGCCCAGGATGCAGCTCCGCCTGCCGCAGACACGGCCCGGCTGGGCCCGCTGAGCTCGGGCTGGAGCCCGGACACGCTGTGCCATCTCCCCGCTTCCTTCTGGGTCCCCGTTGCATCCCTGGGGACACCTGGCTGCCCTCGGCAGGTGGCTCCCGGCGGGGGATGGACGGGTGACGCTGAGGCCCTGGGCTCCCGACGGCATCGAGTGCGGGGACGGTGACGTGGCTTACGCACGTGTGACCGGAGGCGCTGCGTGCTCGCCGGGGCCACGAGGCGCAGACGGCGGGAGCGGAGGCCGCCGATCTGCCGCCCGACAGGCGCCGTCCACGCGTTGAGGGCTTTCTTGGGGGTGGTTTGGTCTTTCTTCGTCCCTTGACGTCCCCGGGACCTGGATTTATGAGCGGTTGCAGTCCCGCCTCGGGTTCCACTTCGTGCAGGTGTAACTGAAGTGAACTCTGCGGGGTTTGGGTTTTCTTGGGGTTTTCTTTGGAGGGAGCGCGTGCGAGTGTGCGCGGGGGTGGGGTGGCGAAGAGAGGGGGTCCCGGCCGACTCCACCGTGACATGGCTGACGCCTGGCGCCCCGACGTGTCCTCGTGGCCTTCGGCGTCTCCGTAGCGTGGCGGCGAGCTTTCCTGGGGAACGCCGTCTGTCTTCGGTCCGCTGTGTAAGGCTTCCTTTGCAGATGTACTGATTTTTTCTTTTTTTAAGCCTTCCCTCTTTTGTGGACTGTTCGGGCTGTTTTTCTCCTAAAAACATCACCTCAACGAACGTCTCTTCTGTCTGCGGTGGTGACGCGCTCAGTCCTGGGTTCGCCTCGGTCTTGGCTTCCCGTGCCCTCCGGGTTAGGCTCGTGGTTTAAATTCCCAGACGAGGGATCCCTTGGCCAACGAGGGGGCCGGTCCCCCAGGGGGGGCCGTGAGGGCGGCTTTCCCGCTTTCCTGAGGCTGCCGGGTGAAGGCCGGGGAGCCCGGCGGCAGGGCTGGAGCGCGGGCTGCGGCCGAGATCGCCCCCCGGGCCCGGAAGAGGACGTGGCCTTCTGGGTTGCGCTGTTTTGATTATGGATGAGGCCGAGTGTGCTTTTTTTTAGATTTTATTTATTTATTCATGAGAGACGCAGAGAGAGGCAGAGACACAGGCAGAGGGAGACGCAGCCCCATGAGGGGAGCCCGATGCGGGACTCGATCCCAGGACCTGGGGTCACGCCCTGAGCCGACGGCAGACGCTCCACCGCTGAGCCTCCCGGGCGTCCCTGATTTGGGGCTTTTGTGGAACGTGCGTGTTTATGGAGGCAAATCCATCGATATATTTGATTTCCTCCGTTGCTTTTATTTTTTATAAAAAAGATTTTATTTATTTATTTGAGAGTGACACAAGCAGGGGAAGCAGAGGGAGAGGGGGAGGCAGACTCCCCTCGGAGCAGAGAGCCCGCCGCGGGGCTCGAACCCAGGGCCCCGGGGCCTGGTCCTCCACTGCTCATCGCCTCAGCGTCGTGCTCCGCGTGGAAACCTGGTGACGTGGCTCCCTGGCTCCCGCCGCCGGCCTGGCCCTGGGCCTTTCCTTCTGCGCCTGGCCGCCCGCGTCTTCCCGCGGCACCGTGTGCGCTTCGTGGCGGCCACGTCCTCACGTGGGGTCTGCTCCGGCCCACACCGTCCCCGGCTCTGTTTTGCTCCTTGGCCCTGTGTGGAGCGTCATCCCCCACAGGGTCACAGGACGGGGACAGGGGCTTGGAGAGGCCGTGGGGGCCACCCGGACGTGTGACAGCCAGCCCCGCCCCCTCCCGATGCAGACGCGGTCACGTCTCCCTCATGTGGGGGGGGCGGCGCCGGTTCCGCTCTGCGCTGGGCCCCCCACTTCCCGCGCCCAGCTCCCTTCGCAGCCCGCAAGGGGCCCTGAGCACACAGGGGAGGGTGACTGGGCGGGACGGCTCCTCGGCGCGGGGTCCTGGGGGCAGCGCTGGGGGTGCGGCCCCGGGTGCGTGGCCACCGTGCCTGCTGCCCTCCTCAAGGGCCGGCGGCCAGAAGACCTGCCCAGCGGGGGGGGAGCGGGGACGCAGGGGCCCCCGCGGGTGACCCCCAGGGCGCTGGTTGCTCCCCGGGTGCGGGGCCGGGGCCTGTCGAGGCGCTGGGAGGTCTCTGCCTTGGGCCCCCTGGGCTCGGGTCGCAGCTGTCCTTGCCACCCTTGCCCCCCAGTCCCCTGGCCCCGTGGGCGAGGGTGGGGCCCAGGGACCCGGCAGGTGCCCGGTGCTTGCCCTCGGGCTCCCGCGGCCTCCGGGCAGCCCCCCAGACAGCCCCCCAGACAGCCCGTCAGCCCGCGGCCTGGGGTGCCCGTGTGGGTGCAGGAGGGCGCCTGTGCCGCCTCAGGCTCCTCGCTCTCGCCACGCCGTTCCCTCCTGTGCGGGGGAGCAGGCCTGGGGTCACCTCGGGGGCCGGTTGGGACCCCTGAGGCCTTGCCGAGACCAGGGGTGACCCGCACGGACGTGCCTGGTGTGTCCGGCTGCTGCGTCGGGTGACGGGGTCTCGAGAGGTCAGCCACGGGGGGCAGGGGGGTTGGTGTGACAGGTCGGGGGTAGGCCGGGGTGCCTGCTTGTGTCTCGGGGCCGCGGGGGCAATCCTCTGTGTCTGGGGAGTGGCGCTGTCCCGGCACCCCAGTCCCCACACCTGGTGACGCTCAGGGCTGAGGCGCTGGGTGGGCCGGGCGCGGCCCTGGGGGTCCCTGCTGCTCCCGGGGCAAGCAGCATCAGGGGGCCTTGGGGACGCCAGGCCGGGTGCAGGAGGCCCGCGGCCCACCCTCCCGGGCCCTGGGGTCCCCCGCCCCCCACCTCGGCTCCGACTCCGCCACAGAGCCTGGCGGATGCCTCGCTCCGGGCGCCCCTGGGATCCTCACGGCTCGGGCGGGGTGACTGGCCCTGGGGCGGCGCCGGGAGGGCAGGCTGGTGACCGGGTCTCACTGGCCTGTCAGTGCCCCATCACCCACTGCTCCGCGTCCTCGGACTGAGGCCAGAGCGGCGCCCCGTGGCCGTTCCGGGAACTGCGGGTCCGGGCGGCGGTGGCCGTGCGGCGTGTGCACCTGCGGAGCCTGGACGGTGCCTGTGGGTGGCAGGTGCGGCGGGCCCAGGGCGGGGGGCAGGGGGCCGGGAGGCCGGGGCGCAGGGGTGTGGGGCCGGGCGAGCTGCCCCTGTAACCGCCTCTCCCTCGGCAGACGGCGCCCCCCTCAGCGAGCTCTCCTGGTCGTCCTCCCTGGCTGTGGTGGCCGTGTCCTTCTCCGGGCTCTTCACTGTCATCGCCCTCATGCTGGCCTGTCTGTGTTGTAAGAAGGGCGGCATCGGGTTCAAGGTGAGGCCTGGGGGGTCCGAGGCGGGTGGACGGGATCCCGAGGGCCGGGCCCTCTTGTGCCCACGCAGCGCTGGCTTCCTTCCTTCCTGGGGTCACCTGCAGGCCACACAGACCTGGGACCCCACAGCTTCCCTGGGGGCCGCCGATGGGAGGGGCCTGCAGGCTTTTGGGGACCCCCGCCCACTACCTCCCGCACTTTGGGTGCCCCGTGCGGGCCCGGCCCCATGCTGTGGGATCCCGGCTCGGGGCCCGGCCTCAGCGCCGTGTGCAGGTTGGGCGCCCTGGGACAGTGAGGAGGGGCCTCGCGGGCGGCCGGGGGGGTCCTGAGCACCGTGGGAGGGGACTCGCTTCCCCGGGGGCCCCTGGCTTCCCGGGGAGAAAGTGCCCCCAGCCCCTCAAGCCCTGATCGTGGGACCCAGCAATGAGAAACCACAGCAGCCCGCACACGCTTCCCGCGCACCAGGACCCCCCGGCCAGCTGGAATCGCCGTCCTTGGGGCCCCCGGGCCCCCACAGGGAGGGGCTGGGTGCTGGAGGTCGGGGCGACCGCGCGGCAGTAGCCAGCGCTGCTGTTCACGGAGCGTCAGCCAGACGCACGGCCCTGGCCTCTCGAAGGCCGCCCCCAGGGTCACTTCCAGGGAGCCTGGGCCGTTGTCAGCGCCGAGGCCCCCGGGATGTGGCCGGGGGCTCCCCGGGGAGCTGCTGGGGGAGGGAGGACCAGGCGGAGGAGCTGGCGGCCCAGAACCGCCCAGAACCCCGACCGGAGGCTCCTACCCCGGCCGCCTGGGCTGGAGGCAGTTCCCGGGCCTGGCGGCTTTAGGAGGGGACCGGCCATGCACGTCCCCGCTAAGCAGCCCGCACAGCAGCCGCGACGCCCCCGTTGAGAGAGACGGCACCCCTGCCACGTAGGCCGTGGCGCCGGAGGCCCCGTGGGGGCTGCGCACCTGTCTGGCGAGGACGAGGAGGTGCCTTTCACCCAGCCGCCCTCCCGGGTCCCCCAGTGCCCCCGTGGCCGGGCTGTGCCCTGGCAGCTGCGGGGTCCGTGCCCCTGCCCGCGCTCCCTCGCAGCGCTCTGGGCAGGATCCTGGAGCCGCGAGGCCGTGGGGGTGGGAGTGGGGGGCCCGTAGAGGTCAGCCCCTCCCCAGGGCACGGGGGGAACAAGGCCCCAAACAAAGGCCAGCCTCGGCCCCTCCCACCCGTGCTCTCCTCACTTCCTGGGGAACATGGTGCCCAGAACATTCCGGCCCCAGTGCGCCTCGGTGGGCGGGCCTGCCTGCACGGGGACTCCCGCCTGGTCTCTGGGGGCCCGGGGCTGGGCACCCCCGTGGAGCTTGCAGGGAGCAGGGGCCGGGAGGAGATGCTCACGCTGTCCTATGTGATCGCCTGCTCTGCTGGCACCATCCGGCGGGCTGCCAGGCGGCACCGTCAGGTATGGGCCGGGGGCCGGGGCCAGGCGTGCTGGGGGGTGGATGGGGCTGCAGTGGGTACCCCAGGGCCCCCAGGGAGGGCTCATGGGCCCTGGGAAGGGGAGGCATCGCAGGGGATGCTTCCTGCTGTCCCCAGGCTCTGTCTTCTCTAGGTCGGTACCAGGACTGGGGTTGCCTGCAGTGGGCTTCGGGGACAAAGGAGGGTCCCCAGGGGCACGAAGGGCCAAAGGAAGAACCTAGGCCCCCTGGCTCCCGGTCCAGCCACCTGCCCACATAGGGGCTGTGCTCCGGGCCTCAGTCTACCCACCTGGGCAGTGGGCTTGTGGGCTCCGGGGGTGGGAGCTGCTCGTTTCTGTAGGAGGGGATTCCTGAGCCTCTGGCTCTGCTCTGGAGTGTGCTCTGGACCCGGGGGCGGGGCTTCCCCACCGACAGGTGCGGCAGCTGCATTTCCAAATAGCAGGCTGGCCAGGTAGGGCCCCCCCGCCCCCCGCCCCGGCTGCCACGGCCCGGGCCAGGCTCTTCAGGAGCCCCCGGAGCAGAGGAAGGCCCTCCTGGGTGGAGGTCCAGGGCGGCCCGCAGGCAGGTGGCTGCGGAAGGTGGCAGGGAGCCTGGCCTAGGCCTGCAGCCTGGGGGTTGGGGCTCCCTGTTCCAGGCCTTCAGGAATGCAGCTTGTGGAAGGGACAGGGTGGGCGGGCTGACGGGGCCCCTGTCCCTGCTCTCCAGCCCTGACCTCGAGGTTGGGATCACAGGCTGCTGGGGGGAGTGGGGCCGTGAAGAGGGTTGGGGGGCTGACCGACCGGATGGGCAGGGGCAGCCGGCCTGGGGCTCTGGGCACCCATGGTTGAGGCCCCCCCAGGCCTCTGGGAGGAGAATCACCCTCCCCTCCAACCAACACAAAACAAAGCTGTCTGGTCCCCCGGAGCCCGGGCAGCTGGGGGGAGTGGGGGTGTTCCCTGCCCGAGGACTGGGAAGGTGGGGAGCGCTGGCAGGTGCCCCACCTTGGTCAGGCCCCCAGCCCGCTCCACCTCCGGCTCCAGAAGGAGCGGAGAGCTCGGTCCTTGCCGAGCCTGGCCTGCACCTCTTGCCCCTGCCCTGCCCCCCGTCCCCGGAGCCCCGGAGTCACTGCCAGCGGGCGCCCACCTACCGCCGCAGGAGTTTGAGAATGCCGAGGGGGAGGAGTACGCCGCGGGCTTCTCGGCACAGGGGTCCCCTGCGACAGGGGCTCAGAACGGCCCAGACGTGTACGTCCTGCCACTCACCGAGGTCTCCCTGCCCATGGCCAAGCAGCCGGGGCGCTCAGGTGAGTGGACTCCCCCGGAGAGGCCGGGTGGTGCGCACCGGTGTGACTCCGGGGTCGGCCTGGCCTCTGGGCTCAGGAGGGGAGAGGCCGGAGAGGGCTGGTAGGTGCCCCCTTCTGGTGGGACCTGGGGCACCGCGGACAGGCTTGGGTCGGCCTCCTGCCCGCCGCCCGGGGGCTGCTGTGCAGAGGGGCAGCTCAGGCCGCAGGGGCGAGGAAGCTGTGGGCCTGGTCCTGCGATGGGCTACCCGTGTGCTGGGAGGAGGGGCTCCCCCGCTGTCCCTGGATGGCTGCCCCCACACGACCCCCTGAGGCCAGCATGGCCCCGCAGGGACATGGGCCCCATTGTGCCCAGTGGGCAGGGCCCACCTACTCAGGGAGGAGGGGCTCATCGGGGCCCCTCCGTGGGCGGGCTCGTGAATGGGCCTTTCACTCAGGCCTTGGGGTGGGGGCAGGAGCAGCAGGGCCTCTTCCGTGGCCCCCTTGCCCTGTGTCCCGTTTGTTCCCCGTTCTGGGGCCCCCCCAGGGCGAGCGCCCACAGGACAGATGTGGGTCCAGGCTGGAGAGGTTAGAGGTCAACATCCAAGCTGGGCTTCGAACCTGTCTGCTTGAGGCTGGTGCTGTGGGCACCCCTGGTCGTGTCCGGGTCCGTAGGGGGAGGTCCCGCGCTGACCCCCACCTCCGAGGCAGCTTGACCTCAGTCCCTGCGGGCTCTGAGGCAGGGCCGTGCCCACCGCCCTCCGCTCCTCCAGGGGCACAAGGAAAGGGTGTCGGGCCCTGCGGGGTGATGACCAGGCCCATCCCTGCTCTGTTCCAGGCCTTGGCAGGCCCATGACCACGAGGCTGCCCACTGTGAAGCCCAGACTTCTTCGAGGGCTGGGGACCCCCAAGGTGCTAAGTCCTCGGGCAGCCCTGTGGGCCCCCAGCTGCCAGCCCTAGGTCCCAGGGTTCCATGGGCGTCACTGCCCACCCTCCAGCCCGCATCTCCTGGAGGAGAGGTCACCGGTTAGGCAGGAGCCAGGGCGGGGGCTCAGAGGCATGTGCCCCCGCAAACTCCAGAGGGTAGGCCCCCTGCTGTAGGATGCTCCCCTGGCCTTCCTGGATGGCCCCGGGGCTCTCTGAGCAGTGCTGGCCTGGACACTGCAGCTGGTGGGGAGCCAGGGGTCACCTACCTCCAGCCCGGGCCTGTCACATGCACACAGTGTCTGGGACCTCGAAGAATCTTTGAGACGTGGCTTCTCCCACCCCTCGGGGGGCTGTCCCTGAGGGTGGGAGCAGGGACCAGAGAGAGCAACGATTGCTTGCCTTCTCCATTTCCATAGCCCATGTCTCAGGTCTGCAGGGTACCCCTTGTCTGGGGAGGTGATGTCGGGGGGCAGCCCCCCTTGGAGGTCAAGGCTGAAAACCCGAGTAGCAGGTGCCACCTGTTGAGACTGTAGATGGAGGAAGACAGTGCAGGGGGAGGAACCCCGAGGCTCGAGCCCCAGTGGGACCCTCCCCACCCTAAATTCTGCTTAGCATCAAGGTCCGTGTTCCCTGGGAGCCGCCCCCCATCCCCCGGGCTCTCCTGGCATCCTCAGCCCAGCCCTGTCCCCTGGGCCCTCAGGGCGGTTGGCGTGGGAGCAGAATTCGGGGAATCCCTCGGGGGACAGGGTGTGAGTGGGCTCGGCAGCCGTGGCCCGTCCTCCGGGGCCCCCGCTGACCCTTCCTCCCTGCTGACCTCACCCAGCGAGTCTGCAGGAGAATGGGCCCAGTGTGTTCCGTGCACGGCTGTGCCAAGCAGCCCCCAACAAAGGAGCCTTTGGTGTGCCTGGTGCTGGAATGCCAGCCCGCGGCAGGGGTGAGGGGACGGGCGGCTCCAGGGCCCTCCTCCCCATGGGCTTGGCCCCGGCCATCCCGCCTGCCTGGCATTGCCCGCGCGCTGGTCTTGGCTCCAGGCCCTGCTGTCTTTGCGGCTTGTCCCTGTAGTTTGGGGACCAGCCTTCCCAGACCCACCCAGAATGATGCCCGGATGCAGCTCGCAGGTCCACAGCTCTCCTGGGCAGCAGGCATCCTGCTCCTGATGGCAGCCCCCCAGCTGTGGCCCCGGCACTGGGGGGCTGAGGGCAGGTGCTGAGTGGGCAGCCCCGGGAAGGGCAGATGGGGGCGCTGACAGCCCGAGCCGGGGTTCCTGAGCCCCCTGCCCTGTTACAGTGCAGCTGCTCAAGTCCACGGACCTCGGCCGCCACAGCCTCCTGTACCTGGAGGAGGTTGGCCACGGCTGGTTCGGGAAGGTGAGTTGCTGACCCCGGTGGTGGGCGGGCGCGCGCTGATGCCGGGGGCCGGTCTCCTGCCCGGCAGGCACGGGGGCAGGATGGAGACCTGCTTCTCCTGGGAGCCACCCCACCCTGGGGTCCCCTCCCGGGGGCGTCCCTTCCGGGCAAGTCCTGGTGTCGGATGCTGGGAGGCGCCCTGGGAGCGCCGGGTTGGGGGCGGCGTGGGGTCTTGGTCCTGGCTGCTCCCCAATCCCCAGCCTGGGGATCCCCGCTTCCTCCCCGCGGACCCCCAGAGAGAGCCGGGAACAGCCGGGGGGCCTCGGGATGAGCACGAAAGGGAGGATGTTACAGCCGGGAGGGTTCCCCCAGGAGGGGCCCAGAGCCCCTTCTGCAGATGAGTAAAGCAAGGCTTCCAGGTCGGGGCTCGGGGGGAGCGAGGAAGGGCAGGGCCGCCGTGACGCCCGCCCCCACAGGTGTTCCTCGGGGAGGTGAACTCGGGCATCAGCAGCACCCAGGTGGTGGTGAAGGAGCTGAAGGCGAGCGCCAGCGTGCAGGAGCAGATGCAGTTCCTGGAGGAGGCTCAGCCCTACAGGTGGGTGGCACCTGGGGCCGGGCTCTGGCGGGCAGGGGCTGCCGGGCACGGGGCCCTGTGAACAAAGGCAAGCTCTGTGCTGTCCCTGCTCCTCCCCTACCCCTGCAGAGCCAGCCCCCCTCCCCGCCCGCCCGCCCCCTCCTGGCCTGAGTTCGAGTCAGGGGGGCAGCCTGTTGGCTCCTGCAGGGCCCTGCAGCACAGCAACCTGCTCCAGTGCCTGGCCCAGTGCGCGGAGGTGACGCCCTACCTGCTGGTGATGGAGTTCTGCCCCATGGTGAGTGGCCGCTCCCGCCTCCAGCCCCTGCTCCCTGAGCGGGCCCGGGGCACATGCCCACCACGTCCCACGGCAGCCTGCGGGGGAGGCGATCCCACGTCACCTGGGAGGGCCGCCGCTGCGTCCGGGCCCCCGCCGCCTGTCCCGCTCAGTTAAGACGCTTTCCTGCGAGGCCTCACCTCTGCGTCCTGGGCCTCACGTGGCCCGTGTTCCTCCCGGGGTGTGACCCTGGCCGCCCTCGCCCCCCGCGGCTCCAGGCGTGCTGCAGGCTCCCCCCATCTGGTTTCTGGACTCCGGGCTGCAGCTGTGACCTCCGGCTTCCCCAGCGGCTGGGCCCTTGCTGGAGCCGGGCGGTGTCCGCAGGTCAGGGCTGTGCCCGCTGACGCTCGGGTCGTCTGCCCTGGGCCAGCAGTGAGGGGGCGAGCACATGGGCCCCAGGGTGGTACACGGGGCGTGCTCCTGTGGCCCCGGGCTTGGCGCCCCCCACCTGCGGGGTTGTCCTCCCGCGAGCAGGCCACCGGGGCAGATCTCGTGGCTGTGGGGTGGCTGCGCGGCCACCAGGCCCTGGGGGGGAGGGCGCCTGGGGGGCTGGCCGGGGTGCCCGCCCCGATCAGCGTGACGGTGCCGCCTCTCTTGGCAGGGGGACCTCAAGGGGTATCTGCGGAGCTGCCGGGTGGCAGAGTCTATGGCACCTGACCCCCTGACCCTGCAGCGCATGGCCTGTGAGGTGGCCTGTGGGGTCCTACACCTGCATCGCAACAACTACGTGCACAGGTGAGGGCGGGGCGGGGTGCCGGCTCTCCGGGCGTCCCCGTGGGGCTCAGGGCGGCTCCTGCCCTCGCGCCGAGGGGCCCTGGGTTCCCGCCTTGGGGTCGTGTGAGGCTCAGCTGGTCCATCTTTATTCAGCCTTTAGGGACCGTGGTGCCTTAATGAAGACCAGATAGACGGGGCGCGGGGTGGGGACCTGCTTCTGCAGGACGTCAGGCTGGCCCGGGCGAGCACAGGCAGGGCCCAAGGCCCATCCACCGTCCCTGGGGTGGCCAGAGCCCCGCGGTGGCCCCACACTGGCCCTTGCTGGCCTCTGGATCCCTAGGCCCCGGGGGAGGGATGGCTCTGTCCTGCTTCCCACCCTGGCCCTGGAAGTCGGAAAGACGGACCAGGGTGCCCAGCCCAGGGGGACGTGCCGGAAGAAGTGGCGATGGACGAGCGGCCCACCGGCCCCGGACGCCGCACGGGCCGTCCTCCCCAACAATATCCTGGTGCTGAGTGATGACACATGCAACTCCAGCATCAGTGATTTTGTTGAAGAGGGCAGCTGCCAGCCTCCCGACCTGCCCGCCGGGCCCACCCAGCCCCAAGCACCCGCACGCCCCACAGGAGCGGGCCCGTCTGTGGCCCCCGGTGGATGTGCGCTGACCCCACCTTTGCCGTAGGGGCCCATGCCCCCCACACCCTGTGGCCCCCAAGCAGGTTGGAGGGAGGTCCGCAGCCCTGGGCCCGCCATGCTCCAGGGGCACTCCTACCCCTACCCTGTCCTGGGCCAGGAGGGGCCCAGCCCCGTGTGAGCAGGGCCGGCCCGGATGCCCTGGGCTGCTCAGACCCCAGGATGCCGGTTGCTGAGGGGGAGGGTGGCGCAGGCGGGAAGAAAGCCTGCGGTGTCCCCGGCTGGCTGGCCCCCGAGGGGTGGCTCAGTGGGCAGGGGGACGGAAGCCAGGACAACAGCAGGGGTCAGGAGGGAGGGGCTCCAGCAGGGCCATCCGGGCCCCCGTGCGTGCTCCCGCCCTCCCTGGGCCTCGTTTCCTTGTCTGTGGTGTAGCGTGTGCGGCCCGTCCCCGTGGGCCCCCGGCGCGCCCAGTGCTGGGCCAGGGAAGGGGCTCGGGGCAGCTGGGGGGACGGGCTGCCTCTCAGACACCCCTTCCCACCCACTCGCGAGCGACAAGGCCTTGGGTACACGTGGCCCGCCCCGCAGCCCCGCTGCCCCGCTGCCCCCCACGGGCCCTGCCGCTGACCCGCACCCTCCCGCCCTCTAGCGACCTGGCCCTGAGGAACTGCCTGCTTGCGGCCGACCTGACGGTGAAGATCGGCGACTACGGCCTGTCCCACGGCAAATACAGAGTAAGAGCGCGGGGCCGCGTGGGGGGCAGGGCCAGCCACCCGGCGCCCCCGGGTAACGCCACCCCCGCGCTGCAGGAGGACTACTTCGTGACCGCCGACCAGCTGTGGGTGCCGCTGCGCTGGATCGCACCCGAGCTGGTGGACGAGGTTCACTGCAACCTGCTGGTGGTGGACCAGACCAAGGCCAGCAACGTGTGGTGAGTGGGGGGCCGGCGGCGCTGGAGGACACGCCCAGGGGGACCCCGAGGCCGCCAGGCCCTGGGGTGTGGGTGCGTGTCCGGCCAGGACGCGGGGCCCGCCGGGCTCCAGGGGGCAGAGACGTGCGATGACCTGCTCCTCTGCCCACCTCACCTCTCCGTGGCCCCAGGGGCGCTGGCGGGGCTGCCGGGCCACCTGTAGCCCACGGTCCTGCCCCTCCCAGATCCACGGACACCCACAGACCCCAGGCCCGAGCACACGTTCAGGTGGGGAGGCCGCCGGGACTGAGACGGGGCCTCAGCGTGGCCCCCACTGTCTGCGAGCAGGCCGGGCTCTCCTGTCTGTAGTCTGGAGCCCCCCTCCTCCCCGAGCACCCGGCACCGGGCGGGGCACAGAGGGGCACGCAGACCCGGGACTGCAGCCACCGGAGGCTCTGGCACGGTGGTCCCCTCTTCCTTCCCCACCTCTTCTCTGCACCCTGCCCGCCCGCAGCTCCCGGGGCCTGTCTGGCCTCCCTCTGCTCCCAGTGAGTGCTCAGAGCCTGGACCCATGGAACCCCCCCTTCCTGAGCACCCCGGGGTGTTTCCCCCTAGTGCATCAGCACTGCACCCCCGTCCCCTGCCGGCCCATCCTGACTGGGGTTCTCTGGGTGGCTCTGCTCCAGGCCACCTGACTTCTCTGTTCCTTATGCTATGGGTCTCTGGGGTCAGCCTGGGCCCAGGAGCTGGGGAAAGGACCACGGAAGGAACCCAGGTGCCATTTCCCAGCCTTGCAGGCTGCGGCCGCCCCTGCCTGCGCCCTGGGCCCACGCGTGTTGTGGACCTAGACCCCTCCCCCGCCATCACCGGGCCCCTAGCACCGGGAGCCTCACCAGGTCGCTCCAACCCCTGGTGCGGTGTCCAGCCTTCACCGCGGCAGTGAACAGATCGACAAGTGAACGGACTTGGGTTTGGGGAAAGGCCAGCGTGGCTTTTATTTGTCTGGGTGACCTGGGCGCCGCCTTAGGCCTGGCCGGGTCACGCATCCTGCCAGTTTACCCAAGGACCGTGCTACCCTTTGGGAGGGGCGTCCGTAGGATGCTGGCGGGATGACGGGAGCTGCCCTGTGGTGGCCGAGGCTCTGAGACCCCGGGCAGCCACGCCAGCCCCCTCTGACGGCCGTCGTCTCCGCAGGTCCCTGGGCGTGACCATCTGGGAGCTCTTCGAGCTGGGCGCGCAGCCCTACCCGCACCACTCGGACCGGCAGGTGCTGGCTTACGCTGTCCGGGAGCAGCAGCTCAAGCTCCCCAAGCCCCAGCTGCAGCTGACTCTGTCTGACCGCTGGTGAGGACCCTGGGACGCCAGGCTGGGTGGAGCGTCCCCAGCCAGAGGGACGAGACCCGAGTCTGACGGCCTCGGTTTCCCGCTCACGCCGGTTCCCCCTCTGCCCAGCACTGACCTCTGGGCCCTGTCCTGTGCCCACGGCCCAAGTGGTCTCTTTACCCAAAACACAGACGCACCTGCGGCCAGGGTGGGGGCGAGCTAAGGGGAGAGCCCTGTGCCCACCGCTTTGGGAGAGTTGGGGTGTCCGGGAGTGAGCTGGAGGCTCTCTTCCCTGTCCTTGGGGGATTCTGGGTAGGAGGAGAGGCCCCAGACCTTGGTGCAGAGGGCCGCTCCGCTCGCCCCGGCAGGCGGGCGGGCGTGCGGGCAGGGCCTGAGCCCTGGGCCTCCCTCCGCACAGGTACGAGGTGATGCAGTTCTGTTGGCTGCAGCCTGAGCAGCGGCCCACGGCCGAGGAGGTGCACCTGCTGCTGTCGTACCTCTGCGCCAAGGGCGCCACTGAGGCGGAGGAGGAGTTTGAGCGGCGCTGGCGCTCCCTGCGGCCGGGTGGGGGTGGCGGGGGCCCCGGGCTGGCCGGCCTGGCTCTGGGGGGCGCGGGCGAGCTCGCGGCCGCCTCATCCTTCCCGCTGCTGGAACAGTTCGCGGGCGACGGCTTCCACGCGGATGGGGATGACGTGCTGACCGTGACCGAGACCAGCCGCGGCCTCAACTTCGAGTACAAGTGGGAAGCGGGCCGCGGCGCCGAGGCCTTCCCCCTGCCCGGGGGTGCGGGGAGCCCCGGCCGCACCGCGCGTCTGCAGGAGCTCTGTGCCCCCGACGGTGCGCCCCCCGGCGTGGTGCCCGTGCTCAGTGCGCACAGCCCCTCGGTGGGTAGCGAGTACTTCATCCGGCTGGAGGAGCCCACACCTGCCGCCGGCCACGAGCCTGACTGCGCCGGCTGCACCCCCAGCCCCCACTCCGCAGACCTGCTCCCCGACGCCGGTGACCAGGACAATGACTCGGAGGGCAGCACTGCTGCCTCGTTGGCCATGGAGCCGCTGTTGGGCCACGAGCCGCCCGCCGAGGGGTCCTGGGGCCACTGTGACTACTACGGGCGGGGGAGCCATGCCCGAGACCCGCCCTGCCCGCTGGGCTCACCGTCACCGGGGACCCTCGGGTTGGCGCAGCCTGGGGAGGACACCGACTGGGGCGCAGCTGCCTTCTGCCCACCCTTCTTGGAGGACCAACTGGGCACGTCCCCCTCGGGGAGCTCTGGGGCTCGGCCGTCCCCGGGTGGGGAGGAGGTGGGGGAGGCCGAGGCATGCAGGGCCGCCCAGCTCAGGCACTGGAGTTCCAACGTGTCTGCCAATAACAACAGCGGCAGCCAAGCACCAGGCCCCTGGGCCCCGGGATGTGTGGGGGGCTGCATGGGCTGCTGCCCCGGCGCAGAACACGCCCTACAGGCTGTCCCCGAGCTGGCACGTCCCCTGGCCCTGGAGGACGCCAGAGAGCCTCTCCTTGGGCCGCAGGGGGCCTCCTCCGGCCTGGAGCTAGGCCGCTGCCTTGGCCCCCCTCATCTGTGTCCTGCTGGGGTCCTGGCGCCTGCCACCTGCCTGGTGACCTCGTCCTGGATACAGGGGGGTGTGGGCTGGGGTGACAGCCCCCAGACAGAGCCCAGGCTTGCTGAGGAGGCTGAGGGCCCCAGCAGAGCTCAGCGACCCCTTCCCTCCATCCCAGCCCCATCCCAAGAGGGAGCCCCGCTGCCCGCCGAGGAGGCCGGTGCCCTCGCGACCCTGCCTGCCTTGCCCCTGCCTGCTGGCAGCTGGGAGACTGCCCCTGAGGTAGCCCCGAGCCCGGAGAGCCGCACTGGTTCCCCTGGGCTGGAGGCGCCAGTCAGCGAGGATGAGGACACAACAGAGGCCACTTCCGGCGTCTTCACGGACTTGTCCAGCGACGGCCCGCCTGCAGGGAAGCCAGACGTGACGCTGGCCTTCCGCTCCCTGCAGAAGCAGGTGGGGACCCCTGACTCCGTAGACTCCCTGGATATCCCATCTTCTGCCAGCGACGGCGGTGGCTGCGAGGTCTTCAGCCCGTCGGTCACTGGCACTCCCGGCGGGCAGCCCCGAGCCCTGGACAGTGGCTATGACACGGAGAACTATGAGTCCCCGGAGTTCGTGCTCAAGGAGGCACACGAGCCGTGTGAGCCCGAGGCCTTTGGGGAGCTGGTCTCCGAGGGTGAGAGCCCCGGGCCCGAGACTCAGCTCCCCACCTCCCCCGGCGGCCTTGGGGAGAAGAACCCCTACCGTGACTCAGCCTACTTTTCGGACCTCGACACAGATCCCGAGGCCACCTCGGGCCCCCCGGAGAAGGGAGGAGGTGCCCTGGCCTCCAGGCTAGAACTGGATCTGGAGAGCCCTGGGCTGCAGTCTGCACAGCCCTCGCCTGAGTCTGGGGTGCCCGGGGGGACACAGGGCCCTGGCCCCAGGGAGGGGCCGCCCCTGCGACTGCTGCCGCCGGAGGACGCGTGTCCGGAGCCGAGCACCTGCCCGGAGAGCCCCAGACTGGAGCCTCCCTGGGCTCCAGGGCTCAGCCCCGGGCGCCCCAAGGTTTTCCAGCTGACCCCAGTCCCGCTGAGCTCCGAGAGCCCCCGCCCTGACCTCCAGGAGGCCCAGCAGGGACGGCCGGGGGGCCGCGGCGCCCCCAGGACCCCGCTCTGCTTGGCCTTGCCCGCACTGCCCGCGGCCGCGGAGGGCCGGCCGGAGGAGGAGGAGGAGGACAGCGAGGACAGCGACGAGTCCGACGAGGAGCTGCGCTGCTACAGCATCCAGGAGCCCAGCGAGGACAGCGAGGAGGAGGCGCCCGCGGTGCCCGTGGTGGTGGCCGAGAGCCAGGGCGCGCGCAAGCTGCGCAGTCTGCTCAAGATGCCCAGCCTGCTGTCCGAGGCCTTCTGCGAGGACCTGGAGCGCAAGAAGAAAGCCGTGTCCTTCTTCGACGACGTCACCGTCTACCTCTTCGACCAGGTGGGCGGGCGCCCCGGGCTCGGCGGGGCGGCGGGTCCCGGGGGGGGGGGGGGGGGGGGGGCGGGGAGCCGTGGGAGCGCCCGCCGCCGGCCGCTGCAGCCCCGTGCCGCTCTGACCCTGCAGGAGAGCCCCACTCGGGAGCTCGGGGAGCCCTTCCCCGGCGCCAAGGAGTCGCCCCCCGCCTTCCCGGCGGGCCCGCACGCCCCCGGCGCCCCCGGCCGGCCCCCGCGGGCCGCCCCCGCCCCCGACGGCTCCGCGGCAGAAGAGGGTGAGCTGGGGGCGGGGCGTGCAGGGCGGGGGCGGGGTCTGCCGGGAGTGGGCGGGGCGTGCCGGATGGGGGCGGGGTCTGCTGGGCGAGGGGCGGGGCTGGAGGGGTGGGGCGTGTCGGGCGTGAGCAGGGTCTTCCGGGCGGTGGTGGGGCCTGCCGGGCGGGGGCGGGGTCTGCTGGGCGAGGGGCGGGGCGTACCGGGCAGGGTCTGCCGGGCGTGGCGTGGAGGGGGGCGTGGCGTGCCGGGCGGGGGCGGGGCGTGCCGGGCGGGGACGGGGTCTGCCGGGCGTGGGCGGGGCGGGGTCTGCCGGGCGTGGGCGGGGCGTTGAGGGGTGGGGCCTGCCGGGAGTGGGCGGGGCGTGTCGGGCGTGAGCAGGGTCTTCCGGGCGGGGGTGGGGCCTGCCAGGCGGGGACGGGGTCTGTCGGGCGAGGGGCGGGGCGTACCGGGCAGGGTCTGCCGGGCGTGGCGTGGAGGGGGCGTGGCGTGCCGGGCGGGGGCGGGGTCTGCCGGGCGGGGGCGGGGCGTGCCGGGCAGGGTTTGCCGGGCGTGGCGTGGAGGAGGCGTGGCGTGCCCGGCGAGGGGCGGGGTCTGCCGGGCGGGGGGCGTGGCGTGCCGGGCGGGGGCGGGGCGTGCCGGGCGGGGGCGAGGCCGTGACGTCCCCGACGGCGGTGACGTGCGGCCCGCTTGCAGGCGGCGGGCTGGCGGGGGGAGACGGCTTCCCGCGGGGCGCGGTCCCGGAGGCCGCCCCGCCCGCCGCCCCGCCCGCCGCGCCCCCCAAGCCGGCGGCGCCCGGCCCGTTGTCGCGCTTCACCGTGTCGCCCGCGCCCGCGTCCCGCTTCTCCATCACGCACGTCTCGGACTCGGACGCCGGGCCCGTGGGAGGTGAGGCTGCGGCGGGGCTGCTGGGGGCGCGGCGGGCGGCGGAGCCGGGGGCTGCGGGCCGAGGTCCGCGCTCGTTATCCCTCGTGTCCGGGGGAAACTGAGGCGCGGAGCGTCGGGGCCGCGGGCCGCCTCGCCCAGGGCTGGGCCCGCCCGGTGGAGATGCGGCGCGACCTCGAGCCTCCGGAGGGGGCGGCCCCCCCCCCCCGCCCCCCCCCGCTCAGCTCCCGGGGCCTGGGCAGCCCCTGCGGCCAGAATCCGAGCCCCCGGCCGGCCGGGCCCGCCCTCCTGCGGCTTCCCTGGAGGCCCCGGGCAGGACACGCGGATCCTCGGCGGATCCCTGAGCCATAAGCCGGCCCCCAGGAGGGGGTTCGTGCCGCGGCCGGCTGCTCCCGCCCGGGCCTCGGTTTCCCCACCCGTAAGAGGGCGCAGGGCAGGGCTGAGCTTTGCTGGGCCGGGGTCGGGTCTGGAGCCTGGTGACGCGGTGGGAGGAGACCCCGTGCGGCAGGGGAGGCGCCAGGCCGCGGCCCCAGGCGGTCACCTGGCCCAGGTGGGGTCCCCGGCAGGCGACTCGGGGACGCTGTCTGCAGCGTGTCTGCAGATGCTGACGCGGCACCTCCTGTTGGCCAGGCCCGGTGGCAGGTGCTGGGGGCAGCTGTGAGGAGGCTTGAGCCCCTGCTGGTCCCGCTCCAGGCAGCGGCGAGGACGGTGGTCGGCGGCCGGCACCCCCCCGGCACCCACGCGGCGCTCTGGAGGAGCGGGGCAGGACTACTCTGGACGCTCGGGTCGGTGGCGAGCGGCTGGGGGTGCCCAGTGCCTCAGGCCCGAGCAGCCCCTGCCCCCAGCAGCCCCCGCCGCCCCCGCCCTGCGTTACAACGGGCTGCTTGGCTCTTCTGCGGCCCGAGGACCTGCTCCAGGCTGGGGGCCTTGCATGCCCGCCGGCCAGCTCCTGCGGTGAAGACAGGTTGCTGTGTCCCCCCCCCCCCGGGGGAGAACGGGCACAGGCCTGCTGGGACGGCGTCTCTCTGCCCCCTTCGCCCCTTCTGCCGGGTTCTGGGTCTGCTCAGCAGGAAGAGGCCCCCCGGGCTGTGTCCCCCGCCACCCTTACCTCAGAGTCTGTGGCTGTGTTTCCCCTGGGCGACTCCACTACCCCGGGGCTCCCTCCCCACGTGGTCTGGGCCAGCTCCCGTCTGGGTCCAGGGTCTGAGTCCACGGCTGGAGCCCCGGGGTGGGGGGCGGGGGGGCTGCCCGGCCACACCTGTTCTAGAGGTGCCTGCGCCTGGCCCCGCACCCAGCTCCCCTGCGGGGCACTGCCCGCACCGGCCCAGGTGCCACGGGAAGTGGGGGCTGCACCTCCACCTGTCAGGGGCTCCCGCCTGCAGGAGCCGCAGGGACCGGCGCAGGAAGGGGTGGAGCTGGGAGGGGCGTGGGGGGCAGGGCAGCACAGGGAATATTTTTGTAACTGCTGTTGTCTGAGCGAATGGATATGGGATGATTTTAAGTTATTGTTGCCAAAGAGATGTAAAGTTTATTGTTGCTTTCGGGGTGTGGGTGGGCGACTTGTTTTGGGTTTGTGTTTTTTGTTTTTTATTAGTTTGAGGCTTAGGATGCTGGTGCAATGATTTTCTTGTTCCTTTTACGTTTGTTTTTTAAAAGAAATCAAGCTAAGACAAAAAAAAAAGGCTTCATGCTAAGCGTGTGTTTTCTTTTGGGGTTTGCATCTAAAGCCCTGGGCAGGAGGGGGCCTGGGTGGTGCCGAGGAGGGCGCGGTCGTCCTTCCTGACCATGGCACGGTGGGGAGATGCGAGAGGGCGGCCCCGCCGTTCCGGGTGGAGGTCTGCACGGAGCAGGGGGGAGACCGGACTGCAGCCACCTCTTCCTGTCCTGCGAGGAGGGGGACCCACACACCTCCCCGATGGGCCTTCCTCTTGCCTCGCCAAAGTGCAGCAGCGGGGGCAGGACGACTCGGGGCTTCCGTGCATCTCTACCCCAAATATCTGCCCTAAGAGCCCGCCTGGCCTGTCCCCAGCCCCTGCGAGGCCAGAGGCCCGTGTCCCCACCTGCCCTACCTGCGGCCCCTTCTGCTTCTCTTCCTGGGCCGCGGACAGGCTGTCACTTCACGGCTGCAGAACCCCGCGTCAGGAGCCTGGCCCGAGTGGCCGCTGCTGCCACCACTGGTCACCATGGGTGTATTTCAGCCACAGACAACATGCAGCCAGCTGGGGGGGGGGGGCTCCCCCAACAGTGGCACCCACCATTCACTCCAGGGACATGGAGGAGAGCCGGGGGCCCCACAGCCAGTTCTGGAGGGGAGTCGGGCCTGGGTGGGGTGGGGCGGAGAGCCCCCCAGAGCTGCCAGCAGGGGTGGGGAGGCCCAGCAGAGCCCCATCGGGGGGCATCTCCCCCCTCCTCTGCCGCAGGCCTCCCGCCCCCTCAGGCCCACAGATGACAAGCAGGCACAGGTAGGGCAGCCTGTTTATTGACCAGACACTGGGGAGGAGCCACGGGCACGGGGGCGGGGGGGCCGTGCTCCCCTTCCAGCTACAGGCCGACGTCCTTCCCTGCCCCGGGGGCCGCGGCCCGGGGACACCTCCGAAGCAAGGGCCGGGGTCCAGCCCAGGCCAGGCTGCAGCGGGGCAGAGCCGGGCAGGTGAAGGCTTGCAGGGAGGGGAAGGTTCTTTCTCCGAGCGGGGAGCACGCAGACTGTTACAAAAGAGGGTCTGCGTGCGGGTGGGGAGCAGGGGCCCAGCGGGCAGCGGTGGGGGCCTGGCCGTCAGCTGAGGAGGGGTGCAGACCTGTCATTGGTCACGGTTGGCTTCAGCTGGACGCTGGCAAAGGGGTTCCTGAGAGAGGAGAGGAGAGGAGAGGAGAGTGGTTTTAGTGCCGGGAGGGGCACCGTCGGGCACCGAGCCACCTGGGCTGCCCAGGCCCCAGGGTCCCCAGCGGGAGCCCAGAGCAGGGAGACCATGGAGCCTGCTGGGGACAGCCAGGGACGGGCTCCGTGCACAGGGCCAGCTGACTGCCTGCGCCCCACGGCCAGGAGCCACTTCTTTCTCCAAAACCTGAGGCAGTCCTGAGGGGGCCTGCGCCCAGGTTTGGGGAGCCGCCGCCCCACGAGGCCAAGAGGACCCTCCACCTGCCCGTTTTTAGACACGCCACGGACACACACAGCTCAGCAGCTCACACACACCCGGCCCATGCATCCCGGGGTCCCGGAAGGTGGCTGGGGGCAGACACGGGGCCTCGGCCGCCCCACACCAACAGGACACACACGGGGGGCACGCACACCGGCGGCCGTGGGCCAGCAGGGCTGGACCAGGGCTCAGCCACCTGTCAGTCCAGGGAGCTGCACCCTCCCCTGCATGCCTGAGGCCACAGCTGACGGACAGACGGACTCGCCAGACAAGAGGTTGAGATGGGACAAGATGAGCACAGCAGAGGCCGGCACACAGCCTGGTCCTCGCCGAAGCCTCCCCTCGGAGTCCCCGAGGGGCTCGGGGGGCCCTGCCTGGGCAGGGACAGCAGAGGACAGCGGGTTGGGCGTCGTCAGGCGGCCCCAGGGGTGACAGCACAGATGGTACGTGGGACACGGAGGGCTCGGCACGGACAGGACTGCACCCCGGCGAAGCACTTGGCTCTCAGGCCATTACCTGGGGCAGGGGTCGCCTCTGGCACAGCTGGGCTGGCGTCCACGGCAGCTGGGGGGCACGTGGGCTGGGGGCGCCTCCCTGTGTTTTCTAAGACACTGAGACAACTCGGACGGAAATTTTAAAGGATAAACTAGGGAGAGCGGCCGACTTATTGGTGCACGGCTTCCACGTCTGCGCGGGGACAGAAGGATCCTGCTTGGCCCCGTGGCCCGTGAGCGTCTTCTGACGTGGAGCGTGACGAGCCCGGCGTTCAAGGCCCTTCCCGCCCTGCGGCCTCCCCCAGGCGCGCCAGTCTCTCCTGGCTGACGTGTGCAGACCGGCCGCAGCTCAGATGCTCGGGGGGCAGTGGCCACCTCCGGCTCCCAAGGCCAGGTGTGCTGTCACCTGACAGTGACGTCTGCCCCAGGCCCTGCCGCCGTGACTTAACTCTGGCTCCAGAAGGTGGCTCCGGGCCCTTGGCTGTCCCCAGCCGGGGTCAAGGCAGGGGGCGTCTGGGGGGCCGCACTGGGGCAGCTTTGTTCAGGTGGAGGTGGGGGCCGAGCAGCTCCCGTGCGGGGCCAAGCGGCTGTGGGCGGCACACCGACTCCTGCCCTGGCCCCGGGGCCGGGGACCCAGCCGCAGCAGCTGGGGCCGGAGGGGGGTGGCAGGGCCAGAGAGGCCCCCCACCAGAGGGTGCCTGGCCTCCGACCCCCCTTTCTCATCTTCCCCAAAACAGCGCAGGGCACCGTGCCATCGACACCGCAGGTCCCGGGGGCCTCCTGCCTTCGGGGAAGATGGGGCTCAGCAGCTGCCCCAGGGTGGGCGCCCGGGTGAGCCCGGCAGGTCAGCCCCCTGCTGACGCAACAGGACAAAATCCCAACCCAGGGCCCCCCTGCACAGTCCCCGGCCCCGCGGACATCCGTCACTGCCGGGGGAGCTGACGCGTGACCGCAGACCACCAAGATATAAGGAGGCTCCAGTCGCGCCGGCAAAGGGCGGCAGGGACCATCTGGATGGCAGGGTCTGCCCTAAGCCGGCCCCTCCTGTCCCCACGGGAGCACCCCCGCTGGGCCCCCGACGGGGTGGTCTACACTCGGCAGGGCAGGCCCAGGGCCGCCGGCGCCGCCAGCTCCCTGCCCAGCCGGGCCCCTCCCCAGGGGCGATCCAGCACCCGGTTAGCAGTCACGCTTCGGGGCGTCGCAGGGCACGGGGGTCCTGCCTGCAGACCCTACAGCCGAGGGGGGCCGAGTGCCATGGCCCAGCACCTCTCCACTTCAACCTCTCGCCGCGCACTCCGGGCGTCGCCTATTCTGAGTCCACTACGTGAGGGTGAGCGAGAAACATGTGATCGGAGAACAGCCGCGTCGTTTCGGGGTGCGGTTCCCAGCCTTCTGTGGTTCTGGAGCAGAGGGAGCCCAGATTTCCACTTCATCCTCAACTTTCTCCTCTGGGGCCTGACTGGTCCCTGTGCCTCCGGGATGCCGGCCCTCCCGGGGTGGAGTCCACTGTGTCCCGCCCCTCAGGGCCTCACCCAGGGGGCACCTTGGCAGAGCAGGCAGGGGTGCCTCAAACTCCCCAGGGGCCCTGACACCCACCCCGGGTGAGTCCCGGGCCAGGCCCAGTCTGTGGGGGATGCCCCGGCTCCCGCGGGGGGCTGCAGCCCTGTGCCAGGGGGGCGGGCTGGGGCAGAGGCCGGGCTCCCTCCAGAGCCCCGGGGCCGAGGGGCAGCGGGGGTGGCAGGCGTAGGCCTCCTAAGGCCTCTTGGAAGAAGGAATCTAGAGGCAGGGAAGGCATTTCCATCCACCCCGTCCCCAAATGTCAAGAGCATTTGTCTCCAGAATTCTCCAGAAGTTCCTCACGCTGCAGCTCAGATGCGGTGAGAGAAGAGAGTCCAGGACTGTTGAAGCGGTCACTGCCCGTGGGGAGGAGCACATCACGGCGGTGCTCCATGTGGTAGAGGATGCGGGTGCCAGCTTCGTGGGCAGGCTTTTCGGCGACGGGGTGGGGCGGGCACAGACGGGCCCTGGCCCGGAGCGCCGGGCTTCCCCTTGCTTGTCGTCGGGGCTTGCTTCCCCGGGGCCTGGCGGGAGGGGCCGGCACGGTCGGGCTGTGGGCAGCCAGCGAGGGCACCCGCACGCGGTGGCCGGAGGCCTGGTCTGCAAAGCCTGGTGCGGCCTCTACGCAGCCACGACGGGGCGCAGCCGCCGTATCCACCTGCCTCGGTGGGCCTGAGGCACTCGGGTGGGCTCGAGCCTCGGGGCCGTCCCCGAGACCCACCCTGGTGTCCCCAGCCCCCGAGGGGCCGCAGTACTCACCAGCCAGGGAGCCGGCCAGGCCGGGTGCGGGCCTGAGCCCACAGGGGCCGGTCCGAGTGGACACCGAGCCAGGGGAGCCCAAAGCTGGCCTCACAGCCCATCACCAGGCCTCGCCCCGACTGCGGCTGAAGCACCCCGCAGAGGCAGGAGAGGAACCCGGGCAGAGGGCCGGGGCCGGACCACGCGCGGGGGTGCGGGAGGTGCCGGGGCGCAGGGGGAGCAGCCAGTCAGGCCCGCAAGCTTCCAGACGGAGGGCGGAAATCCCAGAGCCCGAGGAGCAATCCAAGGAGAAGCGAAAGCCCAGGCCGGAGCGGGGCAGGCCTGGCAGACCGAGCAGCGCGGAGCCCGGGGCGACTTACTAAGTCTAGTGAGGGGCGGCTCAGAATCTGGCCACTTCCACTTCGGCGCTGCAAGGAAACACAGGGCTCCGTTGGTGGCGGGCGCGGGCACGGGGGGCACGGCCGGGGCAGCCCAGCCCCGAGGCCACAGGACGCAGGCCGGCCCGCTGAGGTGCCCGGGCCCCGCGGCGGGCCTGGAAGGACGCGCCACACTCAGCTCAGTGCAAGAAATAAAACTTTTATTCAAACGACTGCAGTACAGGGCACAATTCAGATTTAAAAAAAAAAAAAAGAGGAAAGGAAACGAAAATATTTTGAGCACTTTACATCTTCATACAAGTGTCGCAGTTTTTTGTCTACATTCATCCACTGAGCATGGAATCCCCTGGATTTGAGATCTTTTAGCAAAATGAGCACACACCACGGAAGGCTCTCTGTACATGGGTCCACGTTCTGGCTTTGTTTTTTCCTCAAATATAAAACGGGTCCGTCTGTGTCTTGAGCTGCTTCTCTCGCGAACGCTCCCAGGAGAGCGGGCGGAGGGTTTTCTTAGATCACGTCAGAAAAAGCGTCCACAGCTTCACGGGGCTCCCGGGGCCGCGGCCTGGCTCCCTCCCCAGACTCAGGGTGTGAAGAGGCAAAACCAGTAGCCACGGAGTCCGGCGTGTCTGCTTCTGAAGTCACCGAGACACGGACAGACGAGCGCACTGGGGCAGGCCGGGCGGTGGGCCTGCTGCCCCCTCCCCAGGGCCGCCGGGGCTGTGCGCCACTTTCCAGGACGCTCGGGGCGGCGGGGGGCGGTGGGGGGGGTCTCTGCAGCTCTCTGGAAAGTCCGAGTGGCTGCGCCTGTCCCCCCTCCCCCCCCCCCGCGGAGGGCCCACGCCCTGGGGCCGCCCACTCCGTGCTGCGCGCAGGCCCTGGCGTCCGTGGGAAGAAGCGCTCAGGGGCCCGGCTGCGGGGCCGGGGGCCGTGGCCTCCCTCACAGGAGCGGCCAGCTTCCTCAGGAGGCCCCCCCGCTTGGCAAGACCCCTGGAGGGTGCGGCCCTCGGAGGGGCACCTGCGGGCCGCGAGCCTCCCGACACAGATGCCAGCGTCCGCTGGGGGAGTCAGATGCAGGAGTAACAGTACGCACACCGGAGTCCATGCAGATCTGGTTTTGTTTTTCAGGAAAGTGAGGTCCTTTTCCTGTGTTTTTTTTTTTTTTTTTCTGTTTTCTTTTTTCTTTTTTCTTTTTTTTTTTTTTTTTTTTTTTTTAAGATTTTTCTTTTTCTTCAAACATTAGGCCTGGCTCGCGGTGAGCCTTCGACAAGGGACAGCGCGTCATGAACACGGCGGCCGCGGAGCAGAGGCAAGGACGCCCGCCCCCGCTGCTCCGCCAGCAGCTCCTGCCTGGCGGACACGCGGGGTGGGGGGCGTGTAAACACAGGGAGCAGAGATGGGGCAGCACCATGGACCCTGGGGGATCTCAGAGTCTGGGGTCACCAACCAAAAGGCAGGACAGGGCAAGAGAGGAAGAAAAGGAACCCGAGAACAAACCAACGAGCGCAGAGGAGGGAACTGATGGAGGCCAGACAGGTGGGGGGGCTCTTCCGAGCAGCGGCTGCCCGTGGTCAGCGTCCTCACACTGTGGACACCAGCGTGCCGCTGCCGCTGTGGAACAAAGCACAGGACGCTGCCGGGCCGCACGCCTCTCCTGCAGCAGCTCCGCTAGCAGCTCGGGGGCAGTGGCCCAGCCCTCCGCGCCGCCCGGGCTGGTTCTGGGGACAGGAGCCCAGGGCCAGGCGCCCCCCCGCTGCTCCAGGAGGGAAGGGCAGGCGCGAGAGCAGCGGGGCGGAGGGGCTTCCTGGAAGGCGGGGCCCCTGGGGCCACGCTGGGCTCCCGCGGGGAGGGCCCGCTCCCAACCCGCCCGGCTCCCCAGACCCCCCGGCAGTATTTGGGGCTTGGGCTGCTGCCTGAGACGCCCGCCACGCAGACACGTGGAGAGAACGGGCGCCCGCCCGCCTGCCCAGACCCGGAGCGCGGCCTCCAGTCTCTGGCAGGCCCCACGGAGCAGGCCGTGGAGCGTCTGTGAGCGGGGCCGGCCCTGTCCACCCACCGCCCCCAACGACGCGTGTGAAACCCTTACCTGCTCACAGCCCGTGCTCCGTAGTCATCTAGACCCTGGAGAGGAAAAGCACCACGGGTCAGGCGGGGGTCGCGGGGGGAGGTGGGGTCTGCAGGACAGGGGGCGGCCAGGCGGCTGTGCCCTACTGCAGTCGAGGGCACGGGGGACCCCTCCACACGCCCAGCAGGGACAGCCCAGCTCCACATCCAGCCAGCGGCAGACCGTGCATCGAGCGAGCTCACGCTCACGGGCACACGCCCGATGGGTCCTCTGGTGACCTCTCCACACGCATCTCCCGGGTGAGCACCAAGGCAGCTGAGCTCGGGCTTGCATGGCACGTCTCGGGGCACGTGGGGGGGGCCTCCCGAGGACACCAGCCTGGGCCAGTCCCTGGATGGGACACGCCTCTGCACCCCGAGACACCAGCGGCAGCTTCCTGGCCTTGGGGGAGGTGCTGCCACCTCGGGAGGGAGAGCCCCGGCTGTGGGGCTGAGGGATGGGCTGTGGGCGCCACCTGGGGACACCCTCCTCGGTCACCTCAGCGCTAAAGCCAAAGCTGGACGGGGAGTGGTGTGTGTTGGCCAGACCCACGCAGCTCAGCTGGGTGTCCTGGGCCCAGGCGGGGCTGGACGGCACTGGGGCGTCGCCTGGGGCCCGTGCTTCTCCCAGGCTGGATGAGCACCCCCTCCTGCTGCTGCCTGAGCACCAGCCCTAACTCACCTTCTCTGGAAGCTTCCAGCCCAGGCCTCAGCTCCACCCCCAAGTCGGGTCCTTCTCACTGCGCTCGTGCTCCTCCCGGGAAGGGGCGGGCAGGCCGCTCAGATGGTGCTGCGCGGGGCCCTCCCTGGACCTCACCCACCTCGGCCGCCGCTCTCCACAGCCCTGAGAAGGCCCGATCTGTGGGCGTCACCGCTGCTCACGTCTTAGAGAAACTTCTTCTCACCCCTTCCAGGGGCTGGGAGCTCACCTTGGAGTCAAGGACTGGAACCCCCGCTCCTGACACCCCCCAGGGGAGACCAACGTTCCAGAACCTTGGGCTCCTACAGCCCTAGGAACCTGCCCATCCGCGCACACAGCCTGTCCTCACGTGGACTTCAGAACCACCGTTGCGTGCTCGAGGGCTCCAATGGGACCCAGGCCTTGACCTCCTGCCTCTAGCCACTTGGTCCTGGGTGACCTGGGCATGCGCACCAGGTCCTGGCTCCCGAGGCCCCGAGACACAGCAACAAAATGGTTCTGGCCACCTCCCAGGCCTCCGGTGCAAGTGCTCGTGTCCACACTCAGGCCTGGGAGCCCCACGGTCTGGGAGGGGGGGTTCTGAGGCCACTGGTGCCCCCACCAGAGGGGAGGCTGGGCAGAGGGGCTGCGGAGCTCACCTGGGAGAAGGCAGGCACAGCCACGCTGTAGGGCCTCTGCTTGAAGGTACCGGCCGTCTGGGCAGGAAACGCACGGGATGACGTGCCGTAGTCGGGGGGCGGGAGGGCCAGGTCCTCCTTGTCCAGGAGGTTCCCCGTGCTGCTGCTCTTTCCCTGCTGCAGGCTGTGGAGGTTGGGGTGCTCAGGGGCTGGCTCCACCCCTGCCCGGGACCCCGTGGGGCCCCCACCTTCCCCTCGGACCCTTGGAGAAGGCCTGGCGATGGGCTGCCCTGGAGGCCCGGGAGCAGCCTCACTGAGCCGTGAAACGGGGCCTGAAGGTGTGGCAGAGGGACTCCCACAGCCGCGCCCCCAGCCCTCCTGGCACCGCTCAGCCCCTCAGGAGGCGACAGTGGGCATATGGTCCCGGGCTGGGGTGAAGCAAGGGAAGCCCCCACCCCACGGAGCACCCTGACTCCCGCCTCACAAAGCGCACTGCAGCCGAAACCCGGGGGCCTCCGACGCACAGCATGCTGGGCCGAGAAGGCACCAGAGCCCAGCCGAGCCGTCTGGGCCGAGAGCAGGGGCGGCTCACAGAGCCGCACGCCCACGGTGCCCTGTTCCCAAGCAGCCTCTGCAGAGCCAAGGGCCGGCGCCCTGGTCAGCACACTCACCTCATGTGCAATCTGTCGCCGCCGTCGCCGTCCAGAACCCGGGTGTAGGAGAAGGGAAACCAGCCCCGCCTGCAAGAGAAGACAGGTGAGAGCACGCCGGGGCCCAGGAGCCCCAGTTCCCCCGCCCGCTGCAACCGTCTGGAGGGAAGGCGATTCCACATTCCAGGGAGACCCCAGACCCCAGCCTGCGCCCTGGGCACACACCCGGCCCTGAGCCCCTGCCCCGGACGGGAGGCTGCGGATCCCCGGCAGGAGGGCAGGGCTCCTGCGTCTGCAGCAGCCAGGGCTGGTTTCCGGCCACACGGCCCCAGCATCAGAGCAGCTGTCTGGAAGGCGGCAGGTGTGCCGGGAGCGAGGTGGCCTAGCGACCGCCCTGCCACGATGGGGGCCGCTGGGGCTGGGGCAGCGCTCCGACCAGCCCCTCCCTGGCCAAGGCGGGGGCGTCTCCCATCTCACCAGCGGCCACAACCGGAGGACAGTAGCGGGGGCACGGCCCCGCGGTCGAGCGAGAGCGAGAGGCTGGCAGGGCCTCTGTGTCACACGTGTTCAAGGAAACCGTGAAGACGCGGCTCCGGGGACACGACAGCGTGACCTCTGGAACCCCAGCACTCGGGCTGGTCAGAGGAGCCTCGGGGGCAGCAGGAAGCCTTGGGGTGGACGGTGGGCCTCGGCCAACTGGGAAGCCACAGCCCTGACAGCGCGGGGGTGGTGCCCGACGGGCTGTGTGCACATGCGGGGCTCTGGGCCAAGTGGGTGACGCAGGCAGGGAGGGCGACGGGCTGCTGAGCGACCGTGAGACCGGGGCTTGGACAGAAACCGTCACGTCTCTGCCGCGGGGACCGACTGAAAATGCTCGGCGGGAAACAGTCGGGGAAGGACCCCGAGCCGCCAGGACGTCTGAGGGCCTCGGGGCCGGGGGCCGGCGTCCCGAGCACAGCAGAGCGCAGGGCAGGCTGCCCGCCCCGACGCCCCGACGGCCGGCTGGGAGGGCGCGGCCAGTGGACGCTTACATTTTGGTCTTCTCGCTCTCGCCGTAGTGCCAGCCGTCCCGGGCCTCAGGCACCAGCAGGGTGATGAGGTCTCCCTCCTTGAAGCTCAGCAGGGTGCTGTTGTCCCCGGCCGCGTGGGAGAAGATGGCTTTCACTCGCATGCGGCCGTTGCGCTCCAGGCCAGCCGCCATGGAGCTGGAGCGCGGCAGGGTCTTGTTCTCGGCTGCAGGAGGACAGGCAGGAGTGAGGGGCTGTGCCCGTCCTCCTGTCAGCTCGGCTGCCCCGGGGGCGGGGGCGGGGGTGGGGCTGGCGGAGGCCGTGCCTTTGGACGTCAGAGTCAGAGGCAGATGGGGCTGCAGACCTGCCGCAGCAGGTGTGGGGAGCTTGGGGCCTGGGTCTCGGCTCCCCCACCTGCTCGTCACTGACCTTCAAGCGGGGGGACACGTGGTGCCGCCCATGGGAGCTGGGGGGGGGCTGTTCCACCCTCCCCTGCAGCCCCACGGTGTCCCCCCTGCAGCCCGCCACCCGCCAGAGGCCTAACGGGAGGCGGGGGAGCCAGGCGACGCCTGAGGATCCAGGACAGAAATCTCAAAGTGGGTCAAGGCGCCACCCAAGAGCACGCACACACTCGGGGCCCGGGGGCCTCCCCGACCTCCCCTGGGTGTGACACGACCACCCGGGGCTGGGGGCACGTCCAAGCCCTTACTGGCTGCGTAGCTGTTCTTCGGAGCCACGCTCTTGCGCACGGGGAGCGTGTTGGAGTAGGAGTCGCTCAGCTTGCTCTGTGACTGTGGAGGAGACGAGGTCTTGGGCTGGGCGGCCTTGCGGTCGGCCCAGGGGCTGTAGTCTTCGCCATCTGGGCCCGAGACGCCATTCATGACGGGCGTGCTCTCCTGGGCAGACAGCCGCTGTGGGGAAGAGGCGGGGGGTGGGGGGGGCGGCGGCGCGGGAGGGCCTGGTCAGGCGAGGCTGGCGTGGAGACCCCTCAGCCCAGCCACCCCGGTGCAGGGTGGGGGGGCATCTTTCCACACCCAGAAAGCTTGCCGGAAGCCGCAGACTCACCCCCACAAACGGGGCCAGCTCGGGGGGCACCGGCAGGGGCTTGGCCCCCGGGATGGGGTCTGAGATGACCAGGCTGGACTTGGAGGCCGACAGGGCGCTGGGGAGGACGGAGCCGTTGCTGCTGGCCATCTGCTGCATCAGCTGCACCGCGCGGTCTGGGATCTTGTTGGGGTCGGCGCAGGCCTGCTGCCATAGCGGCAGCTTCTGTGCCAGCAGCTCCTTGCCCTGCAGCAGAGGAAGCAGGGAGGGCAGGGGCAGGGTCAGGGCTGGCCGGGGAGGGGGCTGTACCTGTCAAGCCTTATGGCTGCTCTTCACCAGGTGGGGACACACAGCCAGAGTGGCCACCTGTGAGCCCTGCCCGCCGGCCCCCAGGAGGGCTGGGCTGTAGCAGTGAGCCAGGCAGTCATGAGGCCACCAGGGCTCAGACGACACCAAGGTCCAAGCTGGGCAGGGGCCAACAAAGAAGGAAAAGGGGATGAAGGCCTAGTAGCCATGCAGCTGACGCACCGTGGGCGACCTCGAGGCCCTGGGGATCCTGGCCACAGGCAGGCCAAGCTGCAGGGCGTGCAGGATGGCGGGACCCACCAGGCGGTACCTGGTAGATGCAGGATGCTAACTGTCCCTGCCCCCACCCCAGGGGCCCAGAGCCCAGCTGTCCCTCCGCGTGCACTGGGCCTGCGGGCAGCTCGGCCGGCCTAACAGGATGAGGAAGCCAGGGGTCTGGTGGGGAGGCACCAGCCTGAGGTTCCCTGTAGCCCACCCGGGTCTGGTGCCTCCTGCGTGAGCCTGTCCAGGGCCTGGGGGGGCTGTGCCCTCCCCTCTCCCGTCTGGCCGAAGTGGCACATGACCTTCGTCCCACTGCAGAGCCTGGAGCTCCCCTGGGTGGCGTGCTCCCCAGCTCAGGGCCTCCCCAAGGGCGGTCTGGCCCTTGTGGCCTCTCCCCACTTCTGACCTGGGTCTGGGCAGGGAGGGGGCGTCTGTGTGGGAAAGCAGGGAGAAGCGAGGAGAAGGCCCTCTGAGTGGTTCAGACCAGGGCCCAGCAAGCCATGGCCTGAGGGCTGGCCCCCGCTCTGTAATGCACCCCGTCTGTCCCTAGTCGGGCTGCTTCTGCGCCACAGCAAAACCCAAAGTGTTACCTGCACCCAGGCTGAGATAACTGGTTGACAAGTCTGGGTGGTGGTGACAAGAGGCCTACAGGGACGCGGCACCCGAAGGAGGCAAGCCCAGGTCTGGGTGTGACCCTCGAAAGGGCTCCCCAGTGGGGGCGGCGGCCCAGCCCAGGGCTCCTACCTGGTGACGAAGCCTGTCCGTGGGGCTGGGACGTACCTGCCAGGGAGACGCCTGGGGGCCCTCGGGCCTCTCTCACCCGGCTCGGGAGGGCTGCGTCCAGCCCCTGGGGGCTGGGGGGGGGGAGCACCAGGGCCTCTGCGACAACCCTGCCTCCATGCGCCTGCAGCACTGGGGAGCCCTGACCTGCCGCGGGGCCTGGTGCCACCAGAGGGCGCGGGTGCCCACAGCGAGCCGCGTGTGTGGGCGGGGCCGCCTCTGCAGCTCCCAGCGCCCAGCTGCAGGCACCGCACAGAGCTCCTGGCAAGGCTGGCGCGGTGCCCCAGGGAGCCCTCCCAGCCCCCCAGGGGACGCACGTCCTTGCACTGTCCTCACCCCGCACCTGTGGCCGGGCCCTCGGGAAGGCCAAGAGGCAGAGCCTCTGCGCAGGGAGGGCGGCTCCCCTTCCCAGCCCAGGCTAGGGGAGCAGAGGGGGAGTCTGAGGTCAAGCACACGTGCGTGAATGTGCATTCACCCTGCCGATCCGCAGGCCCTTTCGTGGAGAAAGGACGTGAATGTGGCTGCCTAGGCAGGCCCTCTGAGCTCCTGGAAGGTTCTGGAGTGCTCCCTCCCTGGCTCCTGACTACAGACTATGCACAGAGGCCTGTTCCTGCAGGGGAGCCAGCCCCAGGGGCGACACCACCCCTACAAGGGGTTTCCCTGGCACCCAAGCCGTCCCCAAGGAACCAGCCTCCAGCCACTGTCCTCAAAACAACAGGCGGCAGCTTCTAACCGCCTCAAAGGCCCCCGCGGAGTCTGGCTGGTGACTCTGCTACTCGCACGCCGGCCCCCGGGACGACCCCAAACGCTCGGTATTACTTTGATCCCCGAGCACCCCCACCTTGGAGTGGTAGGCGGCCGAGTTCTTGGCCACGGCGCACTGCTTCTCCACCAGGAAGCAGAACCTCCTCCTCTCCTCGGTCAGCGCCGTCTTGTAGCCGTCCGACACGTAGTTCTCCAGCTCGCCCTGCTTGTTGCTGATGGCGTCGATGTACTGGGGGCGGGAGAGAGCGGGTGACACGTGTGAGCGGACGGGACACCGGAGGCCACGCCCAGCTCAGGGCGCCCCAGGCCCCCCGCCCCTGCAGCCGTGCCCACGCCCGCGCGGACCCTGCTGGCAGATTGCCGGTGAGGCCCTGGAGGCATCGTGGCGCCTCCCGCGGTGCCGATCCAAGCACCTGAAGCCGTCCTGACGGCGGCCGGGAAAGCTCACCCGGCACGGCACGACGTGTGTGAGAATGACTAATTCACGCCCAATTCCTGAGGGGGCGGCCAGAGAACGCAGGAGACACTGCTTGAGGCCGGGGCACACTGGAACAGTCGGATTTGCAGGCTGGAAACTTTGGGTAACAAAGCACCCTCAAGACGTAGGCAGCCGTCGCGGGGGGTGGGGGCACCCAGATGCACCGCTCGGGGGCCGCCGCGCCCCTGCCCATGTGTGTGCGCGTGTGATAGGGCCCGCGGGGTCCCGGCGCCTCTCCCCTGCACCCTCCGCCCCGGGTTGCTGCTCTGTGCGGCCCTGGGCTCTCCTGTGCCCCGGGCAGGCCCTGCCTAGAGGGCGCCTCCCCCATGGCTCTGACTCAGCCTGGGGGTGGTGCTGAGCCCAGGTGGGCGCCGGGAGGAGGTGCACAGAACGGGATGTTCCTGCCGCCTCCCTTCCCGGCAGAGCGCTGCCGGAGGGGTGAGCACCCGCCTGTGGGTGTGGCTTGTCCCCCGCGGCCACCGTGCAAGCTGGGTGCAGGCTGGGCCACCGGGAAGCAGCCACACTACCCCACTCTCTGTGAGGCCTGCCCCCAAGACCCGGGCCCCCCACCCCTGGGGACCACACGCCTCCCCACGCAGAGCTCCACTGCCCCCTTGGGGAGGGCGGTTACCGGGACTCCCCATCACCCGCCCACCGTCCGCAGCCCCAAGTAACAGGCCCTCCCCCCGTGCCTGAGGGGACCCAGGACGGCTCTTGGGGACCAAACCCCCCCCCCCCCGTTTCCTGAGCTGCCTGAGAACTTTTCTCCTGGTTATGAAACATGCACCTACCAGCACCTCCCTCGCACCGCGGCTCTTCCCCAGGCGGGGGAGCAGGCCTGGAGCTTGGCGGTGCCCCGGGAGACGGTGGGGGGGGGGGCTGCTGGGCACGGCTGCACTTCACGGGGGCGATTCCAGCTGTGGCCGTGGAAGGGGGCCTTCCCAGGGGAGGACGGGACAGCCCGGATGGACGCACACCCCCAGGGCCCTGTCCTCAGCACTGGCACAATGCTCCGCGGCTGCTGCGCCCTCCCCACCCAGGCCGTCAGGGACACCGCCGTCGCCCTACAGGCCTCAACCACCCACAGCAAGGGCACCTTCCTCGACGCCACTCACTGGCTCAGCCCAGCGCCCACGAGCCCCTTCAGGGGGCAGCCTCAGGATGAGGGTTTAACCCCCAGAGAGGCCCCCAACCCATCCTCTCCTGGTGCCACCACCTCCAGCTGTCCCAGGGGCTGCTCTAGCGTCCCCACCAACTGGCCGGGGGCTGGGGGAGGGCCAGGCTAACCATGATGGGCTGCCTGCCTCGTGCAGGGAGGCCCAGGGAAGACGGCCCAGACCAATGGCCTCCACGCTAGCTGTCACCTACGGGGAGGAGAGGGGCCACTGTGAAAGGTCAGCATGGGACGGTGTGGAAACCGGGACGCGGGGCCCCCTGGGTCTGCCCGCCCAAGCACCGAGCACGGCTCCTTCCAACCCCAGTCCTCGAGCCGCCCCGTGGTCCCACCTGCACGCGGTTTCTGGGTTTTTAGGCTGTGGCACGTCTTTGCCAGCGGTGTGCCCCGCTCCCAGGAGTGGAGAGGAACGGTGCCGGGCCGTGCGGTGTGGGGCGCTGGCCTCATTTCGGGGCCTGGCAGCCTCCACGCCGGGGAGGGAGGGGAGTTTTATTTTTAAGATTTCCATTTACTTAAACAAGCTCAGAGAACGGCTGAGAGCAGCGTGGGTCTCAGGGGACGGGATGGAGGTGGAGCACACGGCCCTGGGAGAAGCGGGGGGGCCGCGACCTGGGGACCGTGCCTCCCGGGGAGCGGGGAGCGGGCAGCAGCCCCAGCCTGAGCTATGGCTTCCTCTGTCGAGGAATGACAGCCGCCCTCCCGGCCTCCTCTTCCTGGACCAAGACCACGGCTTCGCTGGGCACATCCAGGAAGTCTGGGTCAAGTGGGGAGCTTCGCCGTCGAGGGGGACGGGCGGTGCAGCACGGCCACCCATGGGGCCCGGGGCACGCCGGCTTGCTCCGGGCAAGGACACCCACGGCCCTGAGCGTGGACGAGCCTTCACGCACCCTGCAAGAGCGCAGGGGACAGGACACGGCCTGGCCCTACACCTCCGATGACTGAGCCGCTGGAAACGGTCCGAGCCGTCCCCGCCGTAGGCAGGCGGGCAGGTGGGCGCCGGCGGCTCGTCGCTCCCGCCCCTCCGCCGCGTTCCTGCTGGGCCCCGGTGCCATGGCGACAGTGCTATAGAAACACCCAGCTGAAAGCGTTTAAGACCGCGGAACGCTCCCGCTTAGTCACCCTGGGCTCAACAGCCCTGTAATCCGAGAAGACAAAAGTGATCAGAACATATGTCTCCTCTCAGAGCGAGCAGTGACTCACAGGGGGGAGGGGCGCTCGAGAACAATCCTCGGCCCACGTGGCCGTGGCGCCCCACGTTCCCCTCAGGGCCCTGACGCTGCCCCATCAGGTCTGTGGCTCGGCTCGTGGATGAGAGCATCGTTCTGGGCCCCGGGCTGTCACCACGGGAACCGACCCCCAGGAGGCAACGGAGGAACTCAGCTGGCTGTGGGGACCAGGAAGGGGCAGCAAAAATCTGACCCCCACGCTCCGTCTGGACTCTGGGTACCTGCCGGCCGCACCAGCGGCTGCCCTGGGCCTCGCTGGCCAGGCCTGCGTCCCCTCCCTGGGGGGCCAGCCCGGTTCTCAGAACAGGAAGGCCACGGGCGTCAGCGGCTGAAGCCCCCACCAGCCTCAGTCCCCTGGGGGGTGGGCGTGGCGGGGCCGGGGGCGCAGGGCAGTGCGGCGGGGGAGCCTGAGGGTTTCATTCCAATACGAGGAGCCTGAGCAAGACTCATGTCGCCCTCAGGCCCGTGAGGGAAGGGCAAACCGTCCAGCTCCCTGAGCCCGGGGGCTCCTGTTTGCAGGGGTGCAGAGCTGCGTCAGCATGGCAGGAAGGTCTGCAGAGCCCACCTGTGGACGCCCTGCCCGGCATCCTTGCAGCCCAGAGGCCTGGGAAGAGCGTGGGCCCTTACGTCCACACCCGTGGGCCAGATGCCCTGACAGATGCCCGTCAGGCCCGCAGCGCAGCCCGTCCCCCAGCCCCAGGGCCTCGGCCGGCACCCAGGGGTGCGGTGAGCTCGGCCCCTCGGGCCTGGAGGAAGCCAGAGGCTGGGTTTAGCACCGCTTGCCAGGCGACCCCTGCTGAGCTGCGAGGCCCTGGGGGTCTCCGATCCTCCGCGGGGGGGGGAAGGGGCGGGCCCGCCTCGCCCACGCTGGCACGCCGACACCGCAGGCCTCGCCTCCCGCGGCCACGGAGCTCCTGCCGCTCCACGTCCACGCCCAATTTCACAGACTTGACAGGAAAAGAACACGATGTATCTCGCTAGTATTTTTCAGGGTGATGACGTGTCAAAGCCACGTTCTAAACACGTTCAGACAGGGGCTGTCACTTAAAAACGATATTACAACAAATGTCGTTAAAACCAACATCGCCTGCTTCTTACATTTTTAAGGTGGCCGGGCCTGGGCGTGAGAGGGCAGGGGCCACGTGCCCGACACGGCCCCCAAGGGCTCTGCGGCTCTGATGCCCAAGGCGTCCCAGACCACTCCCGGGCGGCCGAGTTGGCGCTGAGGCCACAACCCGCCGCGCGGCTCCATCTGGGCAAGCGAGGGCCGGTGGGCACGGGCGCGGTGTGTGGGGCGACACGGCCCCCGCAGCCCAAAGGTTCAAAGGAACAGAGGGCGTCCCCCAGCCGCCCTGTCCTGGGACCCCGGCACCCCTGATGCCACCTCTGGACACAGGCCCTGACAGGGCGCAGAGGCTGCTGCGCCTCTGGCGGGACGGCGTCCACACCGCGGCCGGGAGACTTGCCCACAGACCGCCTCTGGCGTGGAAGAGCTTTTTAAGTGAGACCGGGAGGCGCACAGGGGGCTTGAACCATGAGCACGGCGTCAAACTCCACACGCTGACGGGACCAACCTCTGCCATGATCTTTTTTGAAGACCTAAATTATGGTTATTTTGTTTTTGTTTTGTTAATCACACACCCCTTAAATAGAACAAATCTCCCCCCTCGCAGACTGGGCTCTGGGTGTGTGCGCCTCCTGGAACACGCGAACCCAGGGAGGGCGGCGGCCGCCACGAGGAGGCCTGTGCCCCCCGCTTCTGACGAGGCCGTGCTCAGGATCTCCCCGGACCTCCTCCTCCAACACAACCAGCGTGGGGCTGCGGAACCTCTCCCCCCATGGCCGCGTGGCCCCGGGGACGGGAGGGGCAGGAGGGGACAGGAGGGGACGGGGCCTGGCTGAGTGCTCCCCGCAGCTCCGAGTGCTCAGCAGCCAGACCCTGCCCAGGTTAGGGGCTCCAGGGGCTCGGCCACCCGAGAGCCCCAGGCAGCCGTGGCTCACGGTGCTGAGGGCAGCAGGCCTGGCCCACCCTCGGGGGGCCCGGGCAGGGTCCACCCGGTCTCTTTTCCTTCCCAGGCGCTCACCTCTGCCTTTGGGGCCCTGACAACCCCTCTCTCGGTGTATGGAGCCTGTACACAGGAAGACACCCCGCTTCCCTGGACCCTGGCCCACCACACACCCAACGTGCGTTCCTGGGTTTTCTATCCGTCAAGACACCCCTTGGAGGGTGGGGTCCCCTGCCTCTGCCCGTCTCGTCTAGTCAGAGCTGGGCCACGCTGGGACAGAGGAGGCAAACACATGCAAGGCTGCCGCCTGGCCTGCAGGATTGGCCACTTCCACACCAGCCGCTCACGAGCCCTGGGACCGCCAGCCGCCCGGCGGGACTGGCTGCCCGTCACAATCACCCAGAAGCTCTGAGGACCCTGACACAGTGCCACCACTCACACCTGCGTGTTGGGGAGGGGGATGCGGGCTCCGCGGAGATGCCGAGGGCCAAGGGGACAGGGTCACGCAGCATGTCCTCCATGGCCCGAGCACCCTACAGCCCCGTCCACAAGGACGGGCGCTCCATGGGTGCCAGGAGGTCTGGGGAGTGGCCTTTCCTGTCAGGACGGCCCCTGGTGCCTTCCCTACTTCTAGATGCCACCCCCGTCCTATTTAATGCCCCAAATGCCTCTAAGCACCTGTTCCCTGACCTACAACTAAAATCAGTTCTCTTGATGGAAATCCCAAAACACAGCCTCAATTACCAGCGGTTCTTGCAAATGGCCGGCTCTGACCCAGTCCCGTTCACAGGGAACCCCTACTGATGGACCGACACCCAGTCGGATCAACGTCCCTTCTGCCGCATGGGCAGTGGGGTGCTCTGGCTCGGCCTGGCCGCGGACCGCACAGCACAGGCCCTGGGGGAGGACAAGCGGGTGGGGGCGTGTCTGGGGGGCGCAGAGCTGCCCGAGGAGTCCCCAGGGCTGGCCCTGCCCCGTGGGCAGCCCTTCCTCTCCCCAGCAAGCGTTCTACACACGTGACATTGGCGGGGGGGGGGGGAGAGGACGCCAGCAGCCAAGCCTCCTGAAGGACCACCCCCTCTCCCAGGCACCGAGCAAACCCGCGCCTGAAACCGCGTGCTGGAACCCCCGGCCACAGTGTCCAGGCCCGCGCCAGCCCGTGGCACAGGCTCAGGCCATCTGGTTTACCACCTGCTCTGGCAGGGGAGCGCCCCGAGGGCAGGGGCTTCGGTGAGCCTGCCTGAGCCTCGGGACGCAGGGCCTGCCCCCCCAGGCTGCATGAGGCTCGGGGCCCAGGAGCACAGGAGTCTGCAAGGGAACACGCAAGGCCGTCAGCTGTGTCTGAAGCCCACCCCACGCCCCTTCCCTGGGGTCACGACTCTCCTCCTCCTCAGCTCACGGATGCAGCCCCAGGAGCCCACACAAGTCAGGATCCTGCCCGCCCCGGGACTCGGGAACACCACATGGGCATATCTGCCTCTCCCAGCTCCTCCGCAGGGTTGGGGACAGTCGCTACAGCACTCTGCAAACCACCCGACCCCATACGGTCCCAGCCAGGCCTCTTGAAGTTCTGTGTGCTGGTTCGACGGTCCCTTTGCGTCTGCCCTCGAGGAAGGAAACTGAAATAATGGGACACATCCAGGCTGTCATGGTGCGGCACCTCGTGCTGAGCACCACACGACCTACCCCTCCCGGGAAGGGGCTCAGTGACCTGGGAAAAGTCATGGTAAAACCCTTGGATGATCACGGATCCAACAGAAGGAAGATGGGTTTGGAGAAGCAGGAGACCCACAGGTGGGGCCTGAGCAGGTGCTCGAAAGACAGAAGGGGACGCCGCTCTGTGGGCATTGGCATGTGGGGGGAGGACCCACCCCGTAAAGGGGCGGGCAGGCTGGGCGAGCCTGGAACTTGCCACCACCACACCCCCTGCAAGGGGCAGGGCCAGGAGGAGAGTCCAGATCTGCCCACCAGGGCTGACAGCATGACCTGCATGGGGCAGGGCCAGCCTGGGTTGTCCACCAGCCATGTGTGGGGTGACCAGGCGCTGCTGCACAGCAGGTGCCGGGGAGGAGGAGGGGCAGGGGCCGGGCCCTGCCGGGGGCGGGTAGGCTGTGCTGACGGCCAGGGCTTGGGGGGTGACCCTCAGTCATGGAGACAGGGGTGGACGTGGCCAGCTCGCCAAGCTGGGGCTCTGCCAGGAGACCCCGTGCAGCGAGAACAGAGCCCCCAACTTTCCAGCAGCACCAGATGAGGGTGTGTGGAGAGGGTGCATGCAGGCCCTGACGTGTCCCCTTCCGGCCCCGCTCTGCAGGCCCGAGGGTCCAGGGTGGCGCAGGGCGCACTGAGGGCCGTGGATGGCTGGGGGCCACATGCAGCAGAGTCTCCAGACTCCGCAGACACGGGGTGAAGAGCTGTCAGGGCCTCCACCAGCCCCGCCCACCCCCGGTGTCCCGGCCATGACCCCCACCCTCTAGCTGCAAACACTGGTGACGGCTTCCCGGGGGCTGGTCACAGCAACTCAGCTGGTCCAGGCCCAGGCCCTGCTCAGGACAGAGCTCCCACATTCATGGCCGTGAAAGGAGAACGTTCTGACACAGGGCACAGCGTGGACCAGGCTGGGGCGCACGATGCTGAGGCGGGAGGCCGGATGCGGAAGGCCACACGGTGGTGACCCGTTCACACCGGACATCCAGACGGGGCCGGTTCACACGCGGACAGCAGATCACCGGCTGTCTCAGGGGAAGGGGTGCCTGCGGGCGGGTGGGGGCCTCCTTTCTGGGGTGCTGGAAATCCTCTGGGCGGAGCGTGGGGACGGCGGCACAGCTGCAGGGGTGGGCACGCTCCAGGCCCCCGCCCACCCTACGGCACGCGAAGCACATCTCCAAGCTGATACCAGGGAAAGGAAAAACTGCCTCGAGGGGGGTGCGCAGGCTCCGACCCCGGACGAGCAGGCCTCCGTGTCCCCACCACCACACCCCCTGGGCCCCTCAGCGGGAGCTCAGGGCAATCACACCAGTGCTGAGGGGGCTCCTGGCCTCCAGCCGGGGGGGCACGGGGGACGGGGACTGTTCACCTTCGAAGCTTGGGTGAGCAAAACGGCAGAACACCACGGGGGTGACGAAACCGAGACGTCCAGCGAGGTGTGGGCTTCTCACCGGTCAGCCTCACAACCCGCTCCTAGACGGGACTCTCTCTGCAGATGACTCTGTGGGACGGCCTCGGGGACAGGCCCTCAGGGCTGACGGGCTGGGGCAGTCCCGGAAGAGGACCGTGGCAAGAGCGCGGCGCCAGGACTTGCGTCTGACTCGGGAGCTGCCCACCGCTGCCCCGGGCAACAAGCCCCTCCCGCTCCCCTCGCCGGGCTGTGCTCTTTAGTTCTCACCTGCTGTTACCAGGCCCGTGCACCCCACCAGGCGGGCCCCGCACAGAGGGGGGCAGCGGGGGGGGCCTGTTACCTGCACCCGCTCAGGGAGGGCGCAGGGCGTGTGCTCCTCGGGCACCACCCCACCTCTGGGTCCCGGCATGCGGCCGAGGGACGTGGGCCCACGAGCAGGCGTGTGTGGTGCACCTTGGCTTGTTACCGCCGCCACCTGAAGGGGGGCCTCGTGCCCACACCCGACCCGGGGTGCTTCCCTTGAAGCAGCTGGGAGAGGCTTTCTCGAGGTTTCCTTTGGAAACAACGGGCGTCCTCCTTGTCTCAAGTCCATGCAATCTTGGGGGGTGGGTGTCCTGGGCCTGACCTGTGTCAACTTGCACCCGGGGGTTCACCCCGATATCCGGGGTTCCGGTAGCTCCGGTGTCTGGGGCCGTGCCCACCATGGGCCACGCTGTCCTAAATCCCCGCCCTGCTCCGTGCCCCGCGCTGGCCGGGCCACCTGCCTCACGCAGCAGAGCTAACGGCCCCGTCCCCGCGGCGCCGGCCAGCCGGTCCCACCTGCAGCTCCTTGTCCGAGTACTTCTGCGGGTTCTTGCTCCCCTGGCTCTTCTTGCGGAGTTTCTTCAGCTCGGCCTGGCACTTGTCCAGTGCGTCACCCTTGCTCCTTTGCTCCGTCTGGTATTTCTTCAACGCGGCCTGAGGTGCAAAGATGCGAAGATGCCACATGAAGCAGAGACCGATGAGCCGACGGCCCTTCCCACTCCCTGCCCCGTGGTGGGCAGCTGGGCCCCGAGGGCGCGGGCAGCACCAGCTGCCGGTAGGAGGGACCGGGCGCACGGGACACCCAAAGGCTGGTGCCCCCGGGCTGCACTTGTTGCGGACGGGAACCTGCAGGACCGGGAGGTCCGGGCAGACGCGGGCGCCCCGCCGGGTGTGGGGGGGGGGCACTACTTACACTCAGGTACCTGGAGTCCAGCTCCACCTTCTGCTCCAGCTGTGTGAGCAGCTCATTGTGGAACGACTTGAGCTGGATGTGGAGGAAAGATGCCGGGCAGTGAGCGGCCAGGGCGGGAGGGAGGGAGCCGCCCCCAAGAGGCACACCCCAGACGCCGGCCACCCCGAGGAGCCCGCGGGGAACGTCCCACCGTCCCGGCCTTTGTGACCTTGGGGGCTCCACTCCAGGCAGAGAACAGCAAGAGCCCCCACGAGCCCCCTGCTCTGTGCCCGGTCCTGCCGAATCCTTCTGTACGTCCCTGGCCCCCCAGAGAGTCAGCTCCCCAGCACGTGACTCCTATGAGGCCTGGGATACGCCCCCACCCTCCTGACTGCAGCCACATGCCTGTGCAACGTGCCCCGGGACACACGGCCAGGGCACACACCCGGCTCTTCCCCTCCCTCGGACCGGCCGCCCCCGCCTCCGTCCCTTCCTCCCCAGGGCCCTCACCATCTCTTCCAGCTGATTCTGAATCTGCCGGTGGACTTCCGCCATCTGAAAGAGAACGTCTCCTGCAAAAGCATGAGGGTGCGGAAGAGAGGAAGGAGAGAAAAGGTAAGTTCTCCGCACTACGGCCCCTCCACCCTCCCGTGGCCGAGGAGCGGGGCACTGGCGGTCGGGCGCAGGGGCCTGGGCTGCGGGTGACCAGCAGGCAGAGGTGCGGGGGGTGGGGGAACCAGGCAACAGGAGAGTCTTGAGTGACGGGGGATGCCCAACCTCAGACGCTGATCATTGGGGACTTTGGGGGGCGTGAGTCAGAGTCCTCAAGCGTCTGCACCAGAGCGGCGGTGCCCGACAGAGGCAGCAGGCTGCACATCTCCAGCCCACGAGCGAGCTGTGAGCACATGCATGTCTGACCCCGCGTGGCCGCCCACCACCCACCCACTCCAGGGCCAGGAGACACCAGGGCCAACAGACCTGTGCCCACCCTCCGGCCAGTAATGGGGCCAAGAGGAGATCTGGCTGCGGGCCCCAGAGGGAGGCCTGCGGAGGCGCCCGGGGCACGCAGGGCCTCTGGGGACAGCAGGCACGCACAGCACAGCTCTCCAAGCATCTTTTCTGGAGCAGCGACATTTCGGGGACGCTGATGGTTCGAGCCCGTCATCACAGGAGACAGGCAGGAGGGAGAAGGTGGCAGCACAAGGAGAAGGCTGTCCCCCAGAGGCTGCTTCCAGTCCGGGTGTCGGCGACACGGGCTCACGTCACCTGCACGCAGGGCGCGTTCCTAGGGGCTGACCTGACATGAGGCCGCACCCCCCGAACTCTCTGCAGCAGCGAGCGTGCTGCCAACCGCCCCCCACCTCCTGGGAGGAGGAGCAGAGACAGAGAAGCCAGGGAGAGGCCGTGGAGGGTGGGGGGCTCAGCCTCGTTCTCCCTTCTCTGCCAGCTGCCACCCTGAAGTGTGCTCAGGACCAGCAGGCTGCAGCCCAGGGCACGACCGTAGCCAACAGGCCCAGTACCCGCCCCCGAGCCAATGCCCCCAGGACAGAGGCCTAGGCCCAGGCCGCTCACCCCGAGACCCTCTGGGCAGCCCTGCAGCACTGGCACAAAGGACGCCCTCCTTGTGGCCCAGAGACAAGCTGACGGGTGGCTGGGCTGCGCTCGTCGGAACGGCTCCGATTTGCTTGGTGCCGTTTGCAGAGCCAGTGCCGTGAGCGTGCTGTGGACACGATGGATCGGGGGCGGGGGGCACTCTGCCCTCAAATCCCGTCCCCAATGTGCTGCTGGCACCAGCAGCCCTCCCAGCTCACGCCTGGGCCCCGTGACCCAGATCCTTCCTGGGGCAGCCGCGAGGGGTGCCCTGGCCCCCAGAAGGTGCCCTGGCGGGGGGGGGGCGCTGCCTGCCGGCCACACGGGGGGCACCAGGCCCACTCTGCCTCTTAGAAGCACCCCGGGCTCTAGGGCGGCCCGCCACTCGCGGCCACTGGCTGTTTCACGAGCTGCTGACACCCACGGGGCCTGCTGAGCGCCGCCCGGCCCCCCCCCCCACCCTGCGGGGCCCCGGGCTCTGCCTTTGGAGCTGAGTCGCCCCCTGAACCCGTTTTGCCTCAGAGAGACCACAGATGTCTGCTGAGGGCGACAGCACCTGCCCGGCAGCTGGGACCCCACTGTCCTGCCACGGCCTCCTCCCCGCCCAGGCCCCTCACGCCCGCCCCGGGGCCAGCCTGCGCGTGGGCCTGGAACGGAGGGGAGGCCCCGGGCCTGAGTGTACGGGTGGGTGCGCGTGTGAGCACGAGCCTCCGTCGGGCAGGGCTGGGCCCTGTGCACACGGGAAGCCCGGCGGCTGGGCTGCGAACATGCGGCCCCCGGACCAGAGCTGCACCCGCTGGGTCTGTCTGCAGGCCTGATGCACGGGGGGCGACCGAGGAAGGGACACAGGCAGGGCCGGACCCCAGGAGCTCCCGGTGCACAAACCCCCTAACTGTGCGGTCACCCGGCGGTACTGCCACAGACGGCAGCACGGCGAGCACCTGCGGGGCCCTGGGTTCCTGGACTTACTCCTGCTCCGGTCCAAGCCCTGGCCTGGCCTTGTGGCACCACAGGGCATGGCAGGGCAAGGGGGATTGTGGCTTCCCGTGGTCAGGTCGGCGCCCTGACCACATGTGGTCCACGGTCAACCACACGCAGGGCGGGAGGGCTGACCAGCCCCACAGGGCGCCGAGCCTGCCCTGGCCCTGACCCTACTCCCACCAACCCTGACTCAAGGCCCAGAACGACAAGGGACAGAGGATGACAAGGAGGGGCCTGGGCCCAGTCCTGACCGAAGGGAAGCCCGTGGGACAAGAGGAGGGAGGAGGCGCTGGCCAGGGTGGTCCGGCCTGTCGCAGACACTCAGGCGCATCAGCACCTGCGGGGGGACCCGGGTACCGGCCTCAGACCTCGGCACCGCCACCTGCGGTGTGCAGGGGATGCGTCCCGCGTACCTGGAGCGGCGCACACAGCCAACCCCGACCCACGGGTCCCGCCTCTGGATGCTCAGAATCTGTCTAAGCCCCAAGAGAGGCAGCTCCAGGGTGATTCTGCTTCTCTGTGCTTCTGGCGTTCTGGAACTTTCTCAAAACAAACACCCACTACCCTGAGATGGGGAACACATTGTGGACTCATTTGTGACGGGTCTTCCTGTGTCAGCGGCCGGGACCCACCCTCAGTCTCCCTGCCCGCGGGCACCTGGGAATCGGTTAGACCGAGGCCGAGGGGTGCAGGCCCACATGGCACAAGGTCTGGCTGGCGCGGAGAAGGGCCGGACTGGACCGGAGGGCCCGCCCCCACGCGCCCACCCCCTGCCCCCATGGCAACCTCAAGGGGCATCAGCCTGGGTGGCAGCGCCCACACGCGGTCCAGCCGGTCTCCCTGCAGGGGCGGCACCCAGGGCACCGGCCACCCGACCGTAAGTTAACAAGATCAAACAGAAAACGAACGTTTCCTGAAAATTCTGTGCACAAGCAGCTTGGGGAGAACATCTGAGGAACACAACCCCGCAGAGTAACCCCTTTGGAAACGAGGTCCCGACACCAAGAGGTGCGTGAAGCTCCGTGAGGAACTGCGGCCGCTGCACCCCCGGCTCTGCCGACCGCTCAGGAGCACCCCGGAGTCTCCCGAGTCTCCCCCCTGCGCCCCCCCAGCAGAGGCCCAGCCCGCCCCCCGGCCGTGCTGTCGGTGCGCCGGTGCAGTGCGCACACTGGCTCCAGGCCCCAAACCCAAGGCTGCACCAAGCAGCCCACACAGTCAATTTTTAAACTGCATTTTACAAGCAGCTGCAGGAAGCCATATGCTCACGAACCACGCAAGGCGGTGGCGGGGGGAGAACGGGCAGCCCAGGCCCTGGACCCCCGGGGCGGGCGGGGCGCACTGGGCTGGCTGCGGGGACCGGGACCCCGCCTGGAGGGCGAGGCTGGCCCCAACACGGGCCCCTGGAGGAACAGGGAGCCACAGGCACCACACTCCCTGGTCCCAGGGCGCCTGTGCCTTCCGGGGCCTACGGGCAAGCTAGCAGGGGTCCTGAGAGCCAGAGCCAGCAGGGGCCGCATCGCATTTCTGGGTTCCGCGAGGCACTCCACCCCGTGTCCCAGACAGCACGGAGGGGGACACCCTCCCAGGGGGGAGGAGGCCGCAGGCTGCCCCTGCCTCGCGAGTGCAGACGCACGCGCCCCGGGGAGTCTGAGTCCTGGGTTCATAGCACAGGTGGCTCATAAACTTGACGAACCGGGTTTAAAATAGCAGCGCAGACCCAGCCCTCCACAGGCCAGGGTGGGGGAGCGGCCAACTCGGCCCACCGCCCGCCGGGGCGCCAGGGCTCCAGAGGGCGTGCACAGAGGGGTGCCGGGCGGCAGGTGCCCACGGCCCGGGCTGGGGAGTCAGCAGAGCCTGGAGCCTGGTGGCCGGGCTGGAGGGGCCGCGCAGGCTCGAGTCACAGGCATGGAGAGGATCTGCAAGCGGGGAAGGGGTAAAGGCCACGGGAGCAAGGACAGGAGTCGAGGTCGCGTGGGCGCCGCGGCTTCCTGAGGGGCCAGCCCCCGTGCAGAGCACAGAGGCATCTGAGTCAGAGGCCGCGTCCTCCCCTGCCCTCCGAGTGTTTGCCGTACCAGCCAAGCAGCCAGGGCAGCGGTGAGTCACCTGCGCACGCCCCTCGGCTCCCCGTTTTCACATTCCAGGTCCTGCCCGTAACCTCAAGCAGCTTTCGGGCAAGGAGCGGAACTCGGAACACACGGCAACGCCCCTCTGCAGGGGGAGCAGGGGCGTTCACGCACGTCGGTATATGCACGCACACACGTGCAACCGCCCTCGGATACACACACACACACAGCAAACAGACACACAAGTGTACACACGGCCACACGGGGGACGTGCCGGTCATCTTTCCTGGAGTGAAATGTGAAACGTGCGGGGGACGTGTGGCTGGACATTAACTGGTTCTGTCTCGTGCCCAACACAGGACAACGGTGGGACGGTGGGGACCGACCTGGCAGCCGGAGCAACCCGTAGAAAGGGTGCAGCTAAGGTGGGCTGGGGACGCTGAGGACGCTGCTGGTGGCCCAGCCCTGGGGTGACAGGGACAAGTGACGATGCAGCCTTCCAGGGGGGACACACACCCCAACAAGGACACAGAGCTGGAACCAGGCCTGTGGACCCCCCGACAGGCAACTCTGTCCTCGACTGCAGGCACCAGGTCGAGCAACCACGATCCTTGACTCCAGAACATTCCATCAGCTACAAACCTGTCCCCACGAAGTCCCATCCCTCCCGCCTCTCTGAGCCACCAGTCTGTACGGGTTTCACTGTTCTGGACGTTCCCAGCAGGGACCTGGGGAGGCGGAAAGAAGAGCCACTCTCACCTGGCACGCCAGCCAGGATGGGACAGCGGGAAGGACGGTGCCTGCTCCCATACAGCCGTGTCCTCCGAGGTGACCGGAGGGTCCACCACGCACCCCAGGGGGCTTTCAGAACCTCCGGAAGGACGCCACGGGGGAGGGGGCTGCGGAGCACTCGGCCACTTCACACACCTGCAGGGTCG